TTTCACCTGAAATTCGTCCATCCATTCAAGACTAACTCACTAATTTCCCCGGCCAACAATCCAACCACCCTTGTTAACAATAAATCGACAGTCAGTCACATTTCTACTTTTTCTACAAAGCCACTGTTTGTTTGGCTGAACCGTACCGAATGTTTCGAAGGTGTGTGAGTAACAACCCAAATCTCTATAAGTCTCATGCCTCCCTTGAAAAAATGTGAATGAGACGAGGAGTTGGGACGCAAACCGTGATCAACCCAGATTATTTTGCGACCAGGTTAGTTTGAAAAGTAACTCAACATTTAGTGCGGAATTTGCACAGATACGAAAAATTTAGCAAGTTCTGGGCACCACAAATTCCCGAATTGTTGCTGCAAATTTTTCAGTTTCAATTTTTCAAGCAACAGATTCCGCTGGAAAATTGAGAATTTTCGCGAACTTGCGGCGCCCAAAACGTGCAGAATTTTTCGCATTTGAACAAATACCGCATCAAACATTATTTCTAAAGAGTTGCTCTTTCAAACTAACATGGTCTCAAAATAATTTGGGTTGAACACGGTTTGCGCTCCCATTGTCAGTGAGATATTTATGAGATGCGAATAGGATCCAAGATGACATGACAAGCCCGACCGGCCGGCAGATAAACCCACTAAACTGTTTCGCTTAATAGAATTATGTCGCATTGTGTGTATCTACGTGGCTAAGGTTTGGGTTGCGGATTAAGTGAAAATCCTCAAATTTGCTTTCAAAACGTAATCCCTACTCAACTCTCAATGAAGATTCCTAAACTTTCAATAAAATTAATCTCAAATTCTTCAACTTTTCCCCGTTTCACTTTAACAACGGCGGATAAGCAGCAGCAGGAGGCAGTGGACATAATACGTTCAAACCGTATACTTAATGTCGCATAAATGTGTAAGTAACATATAGTTCATTTTCGAGTTGGACTAACTAACCGACCAAAATCTTTTCTCATTTTAGTCCCCCAACAATAAAACTAATCGCAACAATATTCCGTACTGAATGGGTAAATACCTTAATAAATAATCATAGACTGGACTAAAGTCCAAGTATCTGCATGTTATTCTCCTCACTTCATAAGGCTGAAGGGATCTTCTTTGTTGTCGTATTGTTGTGTGAAATACCTATGCACAAGTGCTCGAGTTGGACGCTATCCGCATCGACAAGAAATAAAAAAAAAAGTTAGTGGAATAAGGATGGCAGAAAAAATAATGCTAAGGGACTCCACACATCGAAGAAATGGGTACGGTACACATTTCCCAAGAAAAATCACGTTTTAACCCAAATTCTTGTCCAGATTAGGTATTTATGCAGTGTTACTTATTCAGCGTAATCTGTAAGCTAGCCAGACATGTGGTGAGAAAATGTCTCGTCACCTTTCCCAAATTGCGAAGGAGTGAGACAGCGTGGTTACATAGCTAACGAAGTAACGAGGATAATACTGCACAAGTTTTTAGGAAATTATGAAATTAAGGGAAATTATGAAATTTAGCTGGACTTGCTGAAAAAACTTGTGACATAATTATTCTTACTGTTAAGATAAACATATGTATTAACTAAAAAATGGATTGCCATTGATTGATCACAAATTGCAGCCCAGGTTCAAATTGAGACACGGAAATTCATTACGGAATAATAACGAACATTGCATGCATGTCACCTTCCTTCTTGGAGTTCGATAACCCCGTAACGAACTACCTTCCCATCACCTTATCCATGTACATATGTCGATAAGCCTATGTCTAGTCGAATGAGACATTTTAAAAATTGCAGACCGAATCAATTTAGAATCTTCTTCGAACAGCTTTCACTGGTCAAAATCCGTCTATTAAAATGGATGCAGCATGTCTACAACGTGTTAACCAAAATCCCCGAGGGATGATTTATATCCGCTCAGTCTACCCGAAAAAGATACAAGCAATTTCGTAGAATACATGGTTTTATCTGACATCCCGACCAACAAAGTCCAGGTGTTTCACTTTTCCTTTTACCTTTGCCCTCTGTCTCTCTTCTTTCTGCCAGGTTCGTATCTTACAGTGGCCGCGGAAGGGTGTGGACAGAGGGGCAATGTCCCCATGGTTGTTCGATGTCCACATCATCTTCCCCTGTTATGTAAACCACTCCCTCCCCTATCTCACAATGGCAATGCCCCCACATGTCCCCACAGCTTCCGCGGCCACTGTATTTATACACATAACTAACTCCTGCTAAAAGTATGGCTAACTCCATCCAGCAATGAGTTTAAAATCCGTCAATATTTTCTTTAACGAGACTTTCAACCTTTATTCAGACTGCACTGCAGTACATCGTTTATTTGTTTAAAACCTGAGAAATATGCAAATTGTTGCTTCATTTGCCTAACCTACCAGTATTGACGTACTTAACAATATATTGAGTGAGAATGCCGGAAGCGATTAAAGGTAATTTACAATAAAAGTTGGCTAAACCGAGAAAAGGAATTTTGGTTGGATAACCGTCCCGCAATTTGTCGAGTTATGAAACCATTTCATTTTGCAACGAGTTCATTTGCTGATTGAGACATAAAGAAGGGAAGAAAGTTTTAGGAAACGTGCGCAATTTTGGTTGCTACAAATGAATGACATAATTGTCTCAATTTTGCAATGTGCATACGCATAAAAGGAGATGATTATGATGGGACAACTTTTACATACATGCATGCAAATTATTACATACAAACTTTTCACATACATAGGATTGAATTGTGCACAAAATAAAGTAAAAATTTGCACTACTTGCTAACTCGGGAGAAAGTTTGAGCAGGAAATGTGTCGTGTGTGGCTGCTAAAGCTAAAACTAACAATGATGGCTGATTATCTAAAGTGAACGAACCATGATTGCTGAGCTCACTATCATCAAACTCCACACGACACGTATGTACATATGTACATACAAATATGTAGGTACGTGCTACTGCTTAAATATGTATGTACATATCCGAGAAAAGTGTCCGTCAGTCACTCACCAACCCATCACATCACTTGATGCATGTCACGGTCTGGTGTCCACTAATGACAAATGATAAGTGGAGCGTGTCTGCTATCACGTATGTATCCAACTCATAAACTCGATCAGTGGCCGCGGAAGCTGTGGGGACATTGTCATTGTAGGACGGGTTTATATAAGATGGGGAGATGATGCGGACATCCAACGACCGTGGGGACATTGTCCCTCTGTCCGCGGCCAATGCACTCTATGTATACCAGACTGACCACAACACACAAAAATGACCATCTGCTCACCACCTAATCAACCCAGGAAGTGACACTATTATTAGGGAAAATGCACCCAAAAAAGAAAAACAGAGTGAAAGCTGGTGGACACATCAATTTTTTTTACCGCAGTCGCATTTCCCTTCTTCTTTTTGATTTCTTTCTCTGTCATATAAAACTGAGAAATGAATCAAGCCTAAGAAGAAATGAGACGAGTACAGATTGCGTGCAGTACTGCATACATTATGTACAATCCCGAAAGAAATTACGTAGTTGGCTTGCCATGCCCCATTGGATGCATCCCATTACATCATACTCTCATATTACACTAAAAGTACGTACGTATGCATACATGCACTCAACTCGAGACATACACAGTACACCCAACCAAAATGATATCATTCATTACCATTAGAAGAAGAAGACCAAGCCGACTCGGGGAATGAGTATCTCATCTCATCCCGCATAAGCGACCGACCGTCCTTAACTTATCCATCTATCCCCGAGTTTATTGGCCTTTGCCTTGTCCCTCGTCAACTAGTGCCAAGCCAAAGTGTGTGTGTGTAAACGTACACCAACGCCTTTTTAAACCAAAACTGCACTTACGCCAACGCCACGCCACAGGCGAGAATGTAAAGGTTTTGCAATCATTATACATGTCGTTTAATGATAATACCACCAACTCTCCATTTCTGTCTAATTATTATTATTAGGATGAACTTATTTAAGACAGAGTGAAGGTTACTCAAGGTTAGGTTGGCGAAATGTTTAAAGAAGAAGTAAAAATGTTGGCAAATCTGTGTTTTTTTTGCATAAAGTCTTTCATTTAAGTTCCAGACTAAACTAAATTACGGGGAGAAGTTATAGGGATCACGGGAACAGATAGACCATTGTGTGTAGTTATGTATACAGTGGCCGCGGAAGGGTGGGGACAGAGGGGCAATGTCCCCACGGTTGTTCGATGTCCCCATAATCTTCCCATCTTATATAAACCCCTCCCTCCCCTATCCTACAATGTTAATGTCCCCAGATGTTCCCACCGCTTCCGCGGCCATTGTGTATGTATACATGACTTTAATGCATTCCACTTTCTTTCACATTTTACACTGCACCACTTAAATGTGAGGAAAATAGAGGATTGCATATTTAAGGAGAGCACTTTGCAAATGCTTGCATCCTACAAAAAAAATGAGAAACTGGTTTGACGACTTTCACAATAAAGTCATACGAGTCACTTTATTTCAGTGCAGTGAAATCCGGCACGACACGACCACTACATACTCACGGACCAAACTGATGCAAAAAGTCCTTGGAGAAAGCTCATGTCCCATTTTGTCCGAGGAAGTCAACGACTCTGTTTTTTACTTATTGCTTATCGGAGTAATGAAGAAGAAGAAGAAGAATGAAATAAAAGAAAGACGTGCTTTCTCTTGGTCATTTTATCGTGTATTTTTGCACAAAGTCGTGTTTGTAAATATTTGGGGTATTCATTACGAGTTCTTATCGCAATCGCAATATAATTTTTAAAAAAATTACGAACTAAATACTATTGTTTGTGCATTAAAATTAGACCATTTTCTGTATGTGCTCATTATATGAGTTCGCAAATCAGTTTTCACGCCAATATTTTTGCGAAATTGCGAACATTATGCAAAATCGTAATGAATACCCCGCATCGTCCAGTTGTCTCGTTTTATGCATTTTTCTGTGCAAATTTTTAATACAAATTTAAATGAAAAAATTTTCACTCACCACATCCCGGGCACAAAATGCTCTCCACCGCTTTCGTGTTCCTCTTATTCGCTAACTCCGCGGAGAAAACGGCAATAAAATGATTTTCCACCTTGGCCGCAAACACGTAGTATTTACGTCCCGTTTTCACCGTGGCTTTCGGGGGGACACACTTGGGGACGGGTTGGAGCTGTTGTAGGAGGGGTAAATTTCTGGGGTAATTGGACGCATTTCTCCCACTTCGTCGCCCCATGGCACTACCACCCCCACCCCCCAAGTTTCTGTTCACATTATTGTTATTATTAGGATTATTCACTGGGGGTCTTAGTTGGAAGGGGGAATTTCCCCCCAGCGACGAATTTCGGTAATACGTCGGCGGCCGCGGGGTGGGTCTCCCCCCAATCGAAGAAGGACTCTGACGGAATTGCTGGAATTGTGACGACGCCGACGACACTTGTGACCTCGCCGGTTGTTGCCGTGGGGCAGGTTGACCTTGACCTTGACCTTGTCTCGTGGTCGACCCCGTCGCCCCCGATAAGGTTCTGGATTGCTGTTGATGATAAAGCTGAAGCTGAGAGGATTGATGCAACTGCTTCGTGTTTAAGGATGACGATCTCCCCGTGCTGATGGTCATGGTGCCCCCGCCCCCCGCCGCGGAACTTCTGGGGGGGTTCGAATGTGAGTTGTAGACGGTATTAAAATTATTATTATTATTATTGCTATTACTAGATGGTACACTTCTAGACTTAGAGTTTGGTGGGGGGTGGTACTGAGACTGCGAACTTAGAAGGGCGGACGTAGTAGAGGTGGTGGTGGTATTATTTTTACTATTAAGGTTTTTAGGATTATTGTTCCTTCTGTTGGGGGAACCACTGAACAAGTCTCTGTCTCTGTTAAAATGTTCGGAGGAAGGGTCAAAATTTTCGAGGAATTGAAGTCTGAATTGTCGCCTCCGGCGGAGAAGGGGGGCGTCCCCTTTGACGACGCGGTGGAGGTCGAATGTCACGCCGAATGTGCCGTCTGGACGGACCTCGCTTCTCGAACGGGCCGTGCCTTCCAGGACGATGGGAGATTCCCAGACTTTCGCCTGAAATAAGGTAGATATCAGTGGGGGCAAAAGTTGGGGGCATTAACACGGTGGGATTGGACAAGGAGGCACTTATCAACATGGATAAGGTAACGATTTTGCTGAATTTTTGGGGTGGAATGACCCCCCTGTCCCCCTGCTTCCGCTGTCAATGTTGGATATCTATCTATTTTGCATAATTATGTGGTTATGTACGTACCGTGATGTCTGGCGTGTAAAGGTCCGGCCATGGGTTGAATCTCTTAGCTGATGGACCTTCCAGAACGGGACAGGAAGTGAGATGGTGGTTAAACGGGATGGTTTGCTGCTGCGGTCGGGGAGGACCTGGTCCTGCCCGTGTAGGGCGACACTAGCCGAGGAGGAATCATGATTTGACATTAAGATAACATAAATTAAACTAAAAACTGGAAGTCTCCCATCGTAGGCTCTCAGATTTTGGGGAAATTAGTGTCAATCGCTGACAAATTTGATTAGTATGCAATTTGCGAAAGACGCGATCTCCCAATCGGCACGTTTGACAGAGATATTTGCATCCAAAGAAGAGAAAACACGCAGTAAATTTGGAAAGTGTAAAATTCGTCAAGTTTAGGACACGATTTCTCCTCTTCGGATGCAAATATCTCTGCCAAACGTGCCGATTGGGAGATCGCGTCTTTCGCAAAATTTCATTCTAATTAAATTTGGCAACGGGTTTACTCAAAATCTGTGAGCATACGCTGGGAGACCTCTATTTTACATAAATAATGCCCTTACCTCCACACGGAATGGGAATGAACTGAACATTAACAGAAACAAGGAAAATGTCCAAAGGACGAGAATTATGTATTTCATCGCGGCTGAGAGTACTCTATCAGGCCACAACGTTCACGGGACAAAGAACAAGCGGAAACGTCTCCTACTTGAGGACAATTCGCGGCGTGGGTACAACTCTCACGGACTTTTCTCCGTTTAAAGATGGATTTCTTTAGTTTACATTGTTGCAACCGGGTCAACACCACCATCATCTCGGGATGGAAAATTCGGATATCTTGACGTTTCTATAATTCTTGATTTGACGAAATATCAGCGTAGTTATTTATTTAGGGGAAGAAGTAGTTATACACACGAATATCACTCAAATTATGCAGTTTTTATGTAATAGTCAAAAATTTTTAACACAATTTCACAATAATATCCGTTTTTGATCGTTATCAAAATCAGTTCGGTTTAAATATCATTTTTAAATCACACCTCGTTTTCATGGGGACGGATGAGTAAATAGGTTCGACTTGGGTGTAGCTGGGTAGATTTTTGATACATAGATCAATTTATCAGGGATCATTGCTATCTAATGTAAATATGTGACTTGAAAGGGAGCTTCTTCTTTTCCTATAGTGAATAAAAGTACAATAGAGCAGATAAATCATCCAATATCAACTTATTAATTAATGGGTTTACATTGTTGTCTTGTATTTATGCAGTGGCCGCGGACGCGTGGGGACAGAAGGACAATGTCCCCATCATTTTCTCATCTCATAAACCCCTTCCCTACAAGTTTAATGTCCCCAGACGTCCCCCCAGCTTCCGCGGCCACTGTTGTCTCGTATGTACACAACTTTAATAATACGATGACTCTTCATGCACATGTAATATTTGTCCCTCAGACTTGTGACAAAACGCTAATATAATAATGATCACTTAAGTAAATGCTCTAAATAATAAGCACCCCCAAAATCCAAGTCAGGAAATACTTGCCCTGTTTTTCCCCACCAAGTGGCACGAGCTTAGAAGAATAACAACACTCATTGAATTTTATGAGTTCCGAATGTTCTCAAAATTTGGAATTTACATCCATCCACATACACATCTAAATATGTACATGTGATGTCTGAACGTTAAGAAAATGCAGTGTTACATATGTACATATTTACGTACCAGTTGTAATAATGAGATGACTAGAACTTCTTCTTCCTTGCCGTCTAGATGTGCAAGTTTAACGTGTTGTTTTCGTCATAATACGTAAATATGCATGGGAATCATGCCCAGTTGAGAATCTTCCGAGTGTCGACTTGTGTGTCTGTGACAACTTTCCGGTAAATGGGCGATTATTAGTTGAGATTTATGTGAGAAAGACGGAGGGAGACAACAACAAGTTGGTATTGTATTTAGGATTGACTAGTAAATGTAATGCAGATGAAGTAGCTTTATTGTTGTCGAGCAAGGAAATTTTCCCCAGTTTAAATTGCAACCAAACAACTCACAGTTCAAATTATCCAATGTTTTCACTACGGATTCCCAGTCAAAGTTATTCGGGACCACATTACGTATTACTGCACATTAAGACTTATCGATATTATTTCAACCAATGATTATTATTATTATCAGAAATCGAAGCACTGACAATTCTTTCCGTATCCTTCGAGAACGTGATCAAATGTTTGTAAGAAATTGACTCTCGGATCAGCTTGAATTGATTTAGATGGATACTAAACACGAGGCAGGATGAGAAGAAATCGTTGCCGAATTGGTACTACTATTATTCTAATGATTATGACAAATTTGCAGAAACTCTTTTATGCGAATACTTTAACATTAGAGCATCCCATCCCATCCCATTGCCAATTTAGTGAGAGATGAGGTGCAGAAGAAAGTCTAGACTTGTCCATTCTCTCAATTTTTGCAACTTGTACACATGCACTTTTGTCCCTTGTGTGCAAATAGCCGGCACAAATGTCTCAACTTGTCTCTCCTTCTCTCACATAAACCGTTTTATTACTGAATCAGATTAGTCTCACTTTGTCCACTAAGCACACTTTACGAAATAATCCATCCACGTGGACCAAAGTTATTAAGGCAGCACGAAAAAACTGTATAATTCATTTTATTACAAATTTTTATCACCAAAATGGCACTCTCGATTACGTGAGAAAATTCAAATTGAGACACACACACGGAAGTGTTTGTTCTCTGCACGGAATCGAACCGAGTTTTGGGCAGAGAAAAAGAACTGTGTAAAAGTAATACGTTCAGTTTCTTAACTGCTGCTGCAGGAGATATTTGAAGATGATGGAAATCCGAGGATGCCGATACTACTACTGGTCCTCGGCTGCAAGTTTTAGTAGTTTTCGTAGTGGTGGGAGCTTGTTGGGAGAAGAAGAAGAGCACATTGTACCCCGAGAAAGAAGAAGCCTCCTCTCCGATAAATTTAGCTCATCACGACAAGAAGCAGGATGAACAACTGGTTTGTTCAACACGATACGAACGACACACTCACTGCCAATCCATGAAAACCAACCAAACCAACCGTTCCCTAGTCCAGAAGTAAACCAAAGCAAGGCAAAAGTAAAGTAAAGCACTCACCCAACAAACCAACTTCTCTCTCTCCCACAAATCCGTAAGCTTATAACGCTTAACTTATCCCCGTACATGAATATCCTGTATGCCGTGACTGCATTATTATTACCTTTTTACACTGTGTATGTATGTATGTATGTGGATGGACAGTGGCCGCGGAAGGGGTGGGGACATGGGGGGAGTCTCTTGCACAAATCGGATCGCTATGTATAATGCTTTTCAACTTATATGAATATCCTAATTGTATGCCGTGCCTGCATTATTATTACCTTTTTACATAGACGTATGCGGACACTGGCCGCGGAAGCGGTGGGGACACGTGGGGGCATTAACATTGTAGGATGGGGGAGGGATGGGTTTATATAAGATGGGGAGATGATGCGGACATCGAATAACCGTGGGGACATTGCCCCTCTGCGTCCCCACCCTTCCGCGGCCACTGTGTGTGAGATGCTCTGTTTGTGCCCTCTTCTTCTTCTTCTCTATAAATGATTGGCAGGAGGGATAAGTATACAATCCGCTTAAACGGAGAAAAGATAAAGTTATTAGATGGTGGTTGATGATTCTGATCGAATAATTGGTTATAATTGTTATACATAAAAATCCTTCTTCTCCTTCTGCATCTGCACCATCTGAACTTTGTGAGTAATTAAAGTTTGCATTTTTATGTGTATGTAATGGGTCAAAGTTGTTGATTTGCGGTGTTTGCATATATGTACATACATACATACTGATGGCACACAGTTACATATCGTACCGGATATGATGAAACAATTCTATTAATTTGTAATATTTAAATGAGAGGACAAGTGAAACAATCAAGTATTTAACTCTTTTTTTTACCTGCGTGAATAAAAACGTACCGTTTGAGCAAATATATGTTCATGTAAAGTGAGCAGAACAGTGGCCGCGGACAGAGGGACAATGTCCCCACTGTTACTCGATGTCCTCATCATCTCCCCATCTTATGCAAACCCGTCCCTCCCCTATCCTACAATGTTAATGTCACCACAGCTTCCGCGGCCACTGAAGGAGAAGAAGACTGGTCTGGTAAAAGGCAGCAGACAGCATTTACCTCAACTATTAAAACTAATAGACAAAGTGCATGCACTTTTTTTCCTCGTCTTCTTCTAAACGCACCACCGTTCGTAAATACGTACGTTCCTTGCCAACCACACGGTTCGGTTTGGTTGATTTCGGTTTTGCTCCGCTGCCCGCGTTGCTCCTTCGTTCCTTTGCTATGTTAGTGTAAAATGTGTAATTGTACGTATGTACGGCTAGATAGATATGTGAGAGGAACAAGTAAAAGTAAAATTGGTGGGATATCATCATCGTCGTCGGGATCAGTGGCCGCGGAAGGGTGTGAACAGAGGGACAATGTCCACACAGTTACTTGGTGTTCTCATCTTATAAACCGCGGACTCCTATATCCTGCAATGTTAATTTCCCCAGATGTCCCCACCCCTTCCGCGGCCACTGATTGTAGGGTTAAGTTTAAAGGAAGGAAGGTTTACTGCCACCAGGAGAAGAAGAAGATCCTATTAAACGTTGCATTCAAAGTAGATCACATCGCAGTATGTAAGAAGCAGAGCGATTTAAGCTTTTATTAAGCATGGAGTGTGCCAAGGAGAAGGAAAAAAGAGTTAGTTAGGAGAGGTTGCAGTTGCTGCTGCATTAAGAAGGAGGGCACCGGAGCTTTGCACTTTCAGATTTTGATGGCATTTAGCAATAAATAAAGTTGACACTTATAAATACATTTGACAATAAATACAATTTTGAAAAGATTGAGATTGATGTGGGATGTGATAGAGTAATTATCTGGAAATTAGAGTTGAATGGGTTATCCGACTTTCCGAACTGAATCCAAATCATTCGGATCGGATGGATATTTTTCAGTCGAAATATTCAAATTAGGATCGGATGGATATTTTTCAGTCGAAATATTCGAATTCGGATCGGATGAATAGTTTTCAGTCGAAATATTCGAATTCAGTTCAGATGGATATTTTTAGTCGAAATATTCGAATTCGGTTTAATAGAAATGTTTTTTAGTCGAAATATCCGAATTCGGTTCAGGTGGATATTTTTTCAGAACATGGTTTATCCCTTTTGACCCGTTGAGTGGGTGTGGCAGCTGCAATATGGCTCCTCAACCACTTCGAACTTTAACCAACATGTAAATAAATACCAAAAAATTCCCCAAAATCTGCGAGTGCACACCTGCAATCCTCTCCCTCCTAACTAGTTATACGTTACATGCAGCTTGACATTTGCTTGCTTGCATTGCATATTACCAGCCATACATACGTACACATACATTTCGATTTTCGGAACGGTTGAGGTTGAGACGTCCGTCGGTACGAAAGTTCAGAAAACCGTGTCGGTTGTAAGAAGAAGAAGAAGTTCATCTGCTACTTACGTACACATACACATTTAGCATTTAGTAGTAAAGTATATACGAAAAATAAGATAGTAACCATCCAACCGACTACACAAACCACGCTGGTGCTGTTATCAGCCCCTTTTCCCCCTTAAAATCCTCCACCCAGGGTTCGGAAAAACCCAGGGTTTTAATCAAAAATTATAAAACCCATGGGTTTTAATGGGTTTTACCATGTTAATTGGGTTTTATTTGGGTTTTAATGGGTTTTATTGGGTTTTATTGGGTTTAAATGGGTTTTATTGGGTTTTATTAGTTTTAAGTAATAACTTAACAAAAATAATTCGGAATTTGTATCTATTCGGAAATTATTTTTGTTTTATAACACTTGAAATCTGTGATGCTAAAGGATGGAGTCAATTGTTGATTTGTTCCGAATTTTCATACACTAGAATAGTAATGAAATAGACTACTTTAGAATGAATTGAGATAACGCCTTCTAACGTATAGGAGGTGTATTTAACTTCTAGAATGTAGTTTTAAGGTGAAACTCAATTAAAACCCAATAAAACCCATTAAAACCCAAATAAAACCCACTTAACATGGTAAAACCCAGTGGGTTTTATTCATTTACAACCCATTAAAACCCATTAAAACCCAATAAAACCCAACCCATTAAAACCCAGGTCGGAATACCCTGCCTCCACCACTTTGCTTTCAAACATGACATGGTCACTGATTTCTGGGGTGTTGTAACAAGTAGTCTCATCTGTACGGCAGGCACGCGTTGATGGATTGATAAATAAATATGAATTTCATGCTATTCTTGCTCCTTCTCAAACCCGGAATTCGATTCAGACTCGAGATTTTATCCCCGTTATACGTTTTTGCAGATTTATTTGCTAAGATGGGTACGTGAGTAAATCCACAAACTTCCGAAGAAGAGGTAAGCATATATGTGCATACATTGGCAGCGGGGGGACATGTGGGGACATTCGCATTGTGAGAGATAGGGGGAGGAGGAGGAAAGATATGTTCTTAACAGGGGAAGATAAGAGTTTTATGAATTTTTTGGGGGAAAGGTCCCCCTGCTTCCGCGGCCACTGCATACATAGGCAAAATTTGTCCAACTCTCTTCAACGCAGGTACCATTTGAGAATCGTAAAATTAAAGTTAAGTTGCTAGTCCGTGGTTGGGTTAACTTTTTACCAGGGGCCGCGGACATAGGGACAATGTCCCCACGGTTATTCGATGTCCGCATCATCTGCTCATCTTATATAAACTCCTCCCTCCAATGGAAATGAACCCAGATGTCCCCACGGCTTCCGCGGCCACTGCTTTTCACACGAGATTCCTCTTTTATTACTCCCACAATAAACAATAAAACCACTTTGGGATTGTGTTCGTTATGAAGTTTTTAGCCTGCAATTCAACCTGCATTTATCTCAACGGGACTAGTTTTTAGGGTTGGAAGAAAGTTGCGAATCTTTTCTCCTCATCTTTACAATACTGGATTACACGATTTACAATGGAAGTCTCCCAGCGGATGCTCTCTGATTTTGAACAAACTAGTGTCAATCGATTGCAAAATTTGATTCGTATGAAATTTGCGAAAGACACGATCTCCACATGGGCACGTTTGGCAGAGATATTGCATCCAAAGAGGAGAAAACACGCAGTAAATTTTGAAAGTGTAAAATTTGTCTACTTTAAGCTGCGTTTTCTCCTCTTCGGATGCAAATATCTCTGCTAAACGTGCCCATTGGGAGATCGAGCCTTTCGCAAATTTCATACTAATCAAATTTACCATCGATTCACACTAATTTGCTCAAAATCTGAGAGCATCCGCTCGGAGATCTCCCTTGTAAATCGTGTAAAGAAAGTTGAGATCGAGCTGCTGGAAAAAACTTGGTCATAATAATGTCGGTCTTCTTGATAGGAAGAGTACTTCACGGCCTAATGATAAGTAAGTCGTGGAGTAAGTTTTGGTAGGACTACGAAGCAGTAAAGCACAGTGTCACATGCCAAAAAGTCTCTTTTTTTTGTGCAAGAATCTTCATTCTTGTCCGAGATTCCTGCAGATTCACCGATTTACGACGTCCGTTCTTTTCATCGACGCTGGAGTGGAGTGTGTTAGAGAAAAGATCTCTTTTCTTTTGCCCCATTGTCCGCACGTCGCTCGATCCTGCATCTCAAAAATGCACAGAGAGAGAGAAACGGCCTTCGCTTTATCAGTGGCCGCGGACAGAGGGACAATGTCCCCAGAGTTATTCAGTGTCCCCATCATCTCCCCATCTTATACAAACCCTTCCCTCCCCCATCCTACAATGTTAATGTCCCCACACCTTCCTTCCGCGGCCACTGCTCGCCCTAATATAATGGTCACTGACCATTCATCTCCGAGAGAGACGAGGAAGGAAGGAAAGACTGATGCAGTGCAATGAAATGAAATCAAAAATCAATGTTGAGACATGTTCCCGTGCTCCTTTTGCATGAGTAAATCTTCTCATTCGGATATTTATACGTGATTTATTTATGTGCTTATCATTGATTTCATCGACCCGGCCAGTGCTTCGGGGACGCTACATTTCTTGCACCGCAAAGCAATTAACGCAAGAAATAAATGCGAGGTGCCCAAGAAAGTGCCAAAAATATGAGAGGTGCAAGAAACTGGGAGAAAGTGCGGGAAACTGGGAGAAAGTGCAAGAAATATGCGTCATCTAGCCACGCGCCACATGAAGTCCAACTGTGGGGCGTAGTTTTAAGTCTTGCAGGTCAAAATAAGAAACCACTTTCTTGCAGCTATATCTTGCAAGTTGCTTGCGGGGTTTTCTAAATTTTTTGCAGTGCAAAAAGCAATCCAGGTAAGAAATGCGAGGTGCAAGAAATTGGGAGAAAGTAGGAGAAACGTGCGCCATCTAGCCACGCCCCGTGTGAAGTATTTATAGCGGGGGGACGTAGTTTCTCACACCTTGCAGGTCAAAATATTTCCATGCAAGAAACCACTTTATTACTCCCATTATTTCTTGCAATTAATTAAATTGCACCCGAAACACTGTTTCGCGACATGAAATACATATTTTTGTATGTATGTATGCCCTACAAAAAAATGTTTCGATTTCATGATAAATTATGAAACTGATGTGCAGCGATGGCTTTGGGAGAGGGGGAGATGATGTTGAGAGTTTTGTCAAAAGTGCATAAAGTAGGATATCTCATGCAGAAAATTATCCTGGTCATTTATCTTTCCTTTAGACGACGGCTCTAATCGACCACAGCGAAGCAGCATCTTCCTCATTCCTTTCCCCCCAGAGATGATCGCGTAAGAGTCTCCGGTATAGATTCGTAAAGCTGCACTTTTCTCGGATTTATGATATTATTGATGCCCACGTAAAGAAATCAGTTGCATGCAAAAGTCGAGTCATTGAGACAAAAGTCCTCGTTTGTATACTGTTAGATAAACAAAATCGAAATTTTATAAAAACTTAACCTCTTTCGCACTACTGATTTAAAAAAATAAAATTTCTCTTCGGTCCAATACTGATTTCATAATTACACCCTGATAGAAATCATATAAAATTTTCAACCAGTTTTCAATTTTTGAGTTTTTTTTACGAAAAATACGAAAAATCCACTTTTTAACATTGGTTGGTATATGGAAAATTCCAAAATTTATGAAAAATATATCGAAAAATTCAGTTTTTACCATCGAGTTTTCCACAAAATGCTCTCATTTTATTAGAAATTTTATTATCCGGGTAATTTATGCCGTACGATGCATATTTGTGTATTTTGTCCTCCATGAAAATAAAATACTACAAGCGTAGTTCGTCATTAAGAGGTTAAGGACCAATGCAGATTCAATTTTAAACATGTATTTATTCATGATTTATTTATTATTGCAACGATCCGTATAATATTTAGTACAGAATTTATTTACTTTATTATTTTATTTACTTCATTATTAAATACTCATTTAAATATTTTAACAATAGAAAAACAATATGTATATATGCATATGCGTATTATTTTTATACATAAATTAATCATCATGATAAAACGATCAAAAAAATTACGTTGAAATAAATAGTAAACTTGTGTAATAAACATTCAAAACTTAGATAATTACGTAAATACATCAACTCTATACATACATAAATGCTCCATATATTTAATTAGCTACTCTCAAATATCAAGTGTCTACTACATATTTTGTGCCATATAAAACATCATTTTCGAACCTCATCACATTTTATGGATCGATCAAAATCCGCCCCCCACATTTTTCTTAAAAGGTTTGATATCATCACTGCAATGCAAATACGATTGCTGATTGTTTCTAAAATTTTCTGCTTTGATTGCACCAGCACTTTCCAGCGTGACTTGCGTACGTACGTATTTATTATCTTCCTCTCGTGGCTATAAGATACATAATTAAGTAGATAGATAAGTAGTTAAGTGATAAGGCGTTTTGTTATGAAAAAAAATTCTGGTCATAAATTTGTTAAAGAAAGTTGTTAAAGGAAATAAGTAATACCAAACATAGTTAATATGGTATGTGCATTAAAATTAAACCCTTTTTTTGGATAGGTTTCTTATGCAGAATTTGATTTAATTGTAAAATACCGACCATAAAATCTTGATTGGGAACATATTTACATATGCATTTATATAAAGCACATGTGAACTCGTTAAGTAAGTTGCTTTCCGTTTTTTTTGAAAATTTCTTGAAAAACTGTGGAATTGTGGGTAATAAGAAATTAGAAAAAGTATTTAATCGTGCCGAAAAACGAAGGTAAGTAGTTTTTTAAAATTGCATACAAAAGTATCGTATGAGCATCCTTATAAAAAATTGATTTCGATATTTTCCCAAATAATTAATTATTTTGAAAATTCTGAGCTAACTGCTGAAATTCGCAATTTTCTAAAGCTGTATAATTTTCCGTAACACTTATTCACAAATAATAGTCGATTTATTTTTTAAAGCGACAATATATGTATATGAACTTATGTAAATATGTATGCTAATCTAGATAAGTACTATTAGATAATCTACATCATACATACATGACTTTAAAAATAGTGTGTGTCTCTAATTTAGGTCATTTTTCCTTGAAACTTTTTTGATAGTCAGATTGATTTAATTGCACAAAATTTTACGCAGAATAACTTTTTTTACTACTATTTTTAGATTAATTAAAAATTACATAATATTTGATATGTCATTTGAATAATATTTAAATATTTAATAGTAGCTGTTAAGCGATTGCCTATCGACATTTGAATCAACTGTACTGTGTGTTGTTGTTCTTATTGTGATTGTTGTGTGTGATGGATTGCTTGGTTGGAACAGTGGCCGCGGAAGGTGTGGGGACATTAAAGTTGTAGGATAGGGGAGGGATGGGTTCATATAAGATGGGAGATGATGCGGACATCGAACCGTGGGGACAACATTGTCACTTTATCCCCACCCACGCTTGCGCGGCCACTGCGTTTAAAATTTTGCTTTTGGTCAACCATGTCTATCTTTTTTATACAATTTTTTCTTTCTCCGCTACGATTTTTGACAATTTTACTTTCCACCAAATTCTACTTTATAAGCTCAACCTGTCCGAATGTGAACGACACGAACGCGTGTATTTTTTTTGTAATTATGTAAATTAGCTATTTTGCGATAATAATGAAACGGCACAAGCTATAGTACCGCACTTGTCATAACCGCAGAATGAGCAAATGTATGTAAAATTCGTAATAAACGTGTTTCTCTGCTATAGTTTCTCTGCTATATATTTATCACTACGCACTTGTTTAATACGCACTAATTATTTAGTTTGCTGCATAGATTTGTATTAATTCAATCCAATCCGGATTCTCGGATTTGATCATGATTGTTTTTTTAACGTGGCTAATTTGAAAGTATTGATAGTTGAAGAAGAAGCATATTTCTTTCTCAGTGACCGCGGAAGGTGTGGCGACATTTGGGGGGAAGGAGGGGTTTGTATAAGATGGGGACATCAAATGACCGGGGGGACATTGTCCCTGTCCCCACACTTTCGCGGCCACTGTGACTTATGTACATATTAGTGGCCGCGGAAGCTGTGGGGACATTCCCATTGTGGGATGGGGGAGGGAGGGGTTTATATAAGATGGGGAGACGATGCGGTCATCGAATAACCACGGGGACCTTGCCCCTCTGTCCCCACACTTCCGCGGGCACTGTTTTTCTCCGCAGAAATTCCTCGCTAGCATGATGCCCTACAAATCCCATGCATTTCACTATGCAAACTATCTTTGAAAATCTTGGCTTCCTACCTGGCTACTAAAACTCATCCACGTTTTTAGATTACATTCCTAGTCATATTTCTGTCCGTGCTAGGTTCCAGAATAGGAAAAAGGATTGTCCTAATTTTTAGAAAGTCGTTTTTTAAAGATGGAAATGGTTGTTCAATTTTGTTTAATTGGCTTTTTTTTCTTTCGTAAAAAGGTACATTTTTGGAAGTTTGAAAAAACTATCAAAGTTTTGCAGCTGTTTTGCGAAGGTAATTTTATAAAATTTTTGAAAGAAAGTTTACAGAAGAAGTTGTGAATTTTATAAGAAAAAGATGTTCAGAAATTACTCGGATGTTTTTTTTTGTTCGTAGGTAGTTGATGAGTGATCACGTAGGAGCTCTAGTCAAAAAAAGACATATCTTTTTTGACAATTAGGCCACTTTTACATTTAACATGCCAAAGATTAGTGTTTAGAATTCAGGGTCACACGTTGCACAGTGCACTGTTTCTTTTGTTGCAAAGTGATATTGACGAATTAATACGTAATATTTACAGCTGCACTTTTCAGAATAGGATCGTTGATAAGGCGTTGATAAGGTTTTTAGTAGTCTGAAAATTAGTCCGTGCTGATAGGTTGAAATTGTTGTTAGTTGTTTGGTATGAATTAGTTCTTTGTGTGCCATGATTCTGGTCAATTAGGTATTTTTTTCTTCGGAATATTAGATGTAGGAGTAGGGGCCTGTTAGATAGTTAAGAATTAATTAATTACACACATAAACACACGCACGTCAATTATGCAAATAACACGTGGTGAATATTTAAATATTATGGGTACCTTCGGTAAGAGCCCTACAAAGCAATAGTCAAGAATTGTCGTCTTTACTGGCCCCACCGTTGGGGTTGCCCATCGGATTATGGGCAACGATCGGCCCTGATGTGGGGACGCCGTTCGTGACCGCGTTCCCATTGGTCGGAGCACCCTCCAACGCACCAGCCGTCTCGCCTCGGTTCGGTTTGTACTGAAAATTACGATATCATAAAAGTAAAAAAAGGTATAGCTTAAAGCATTTTTTTTCATAAAAAATGGCTAAAAATAATGAAATTCATGAATTTTCATAACGCAAGTTTTTCCGGAAATATACGAAACTGGAAATTATGAGATTACAAATGTAATAAAACGTTTAAATGATTTTTTTTATCATACAATATTCCTAAAAATAATGATGGAATTTTCGTGAATTTTCATAACGCATATTTTTCCAACAATATACGAAACTGGAAATTACGATATTATAAATTTAATAAAACGTTTAAATGCATTTTTTTCAAGATAAAATTATTAAAAATATGTAACAAAATAATGCTCAAATTTTCATGAATTTTCATTTTCCGTGCACAACGATGCAATATTCGAATTAAAATGTACACCCACCTCTAATCCGGGGTCGAACTGCATCAGCACGAACACCTGAATTTCAAGTAGAATTATTATTAAAAGGTTCATTCCTATCTGCATACCTTTTCGAACAAATAGTGGGAAAAGTTCGGCCCAGAAGGCTGGGAAAAATTGGGTACGAGCGTCTCACTAATCCTCAGTGGCCGCGGAACAGAGGAGCAATGTCCCCACAGTTATTTGATGTCCCCATCATCTCTCCATGTTATATAAACCACTCCCTCCCCTATCCTACAATCTTAATGTCCCCACATGTCCCCACCGCTTCCGCGGCCACTGCTCCCTAATCCTATAAACTGTCAAGCCCTCAACGAGATGATCAGAAAGTCGGTGCAGTCGTCGTCGTCGTCGTAAATAAAGAATTTTTGTGACAGTATTATCGTTCATTGGGAGAAGAATTCCGTATTTATTGCAGTGTCACCTCATCCCTTTGGAACGGCTGAACTTGATGAAATGCAGTAGCTCTTAAGTGTGTAGTTTTACTTTAGTGTATGTATGTTGTTGTAAATATGTACATGCATCCATCCAATCTGGTTAGGTAAGGACAGGGTTTCGTTTCTTGGTTGTGAGCTACATTTCTTGCAGTGTAAAGGAAGAAATGCAAGAAATGCGAGGTGCAAAAAACTGGGAGAAAGTGCAAGAAATATATGCGCCGTTTAGCCACGCGTCGTATAAAGGATTAGCAGTGGGGCGTAATTTCTTGCACTTTGCATTTCTTGAAGATCAAAATATTTACCTGCAAGAAACCACTTTCTTGCGGTTATTTCATGCAAGATGCGTTTCATTTCTTGCAGGCTTGCTATATTTTTTTCGCTGCAAAGTAATAAATGCAAGAATTGCTAGGTGCAAGAAACTGGGAGAAAGTGCGAAAAGCTGTGAGAAAGTGCAAGAAACTGGGAGAAAACGCAATAAACTGGGAGAAAGTTCAACAAACTGGGTGAAAGTCCAAGAAACTGGGAGAAAGTACACGAAATATGCGCCATCCAGCCACGCGCCGTATGAAGTATAACGGCGGAACCTAGTTTCTTCCGCAAAAAAAACACTTTCTCCCCGTTATTTCTTGCACCTACACCCGAAACCCTGGTCATGCATGTACACAAGCTGCCCTTGGATCGAGATGAAAAATTGCTCCATCCCGATATAAAATACACGTACCTACATCCTAAAAGCTGTAAATGCTTGTAGTAAATTTTAAAAATGTTGATAAACAACTTTTACTGCTCGAGACGAAAAAAATGTACAATTTAATCTGAGCATGGAGTCCATATGTACATGCCAAATTATGAGATATGAAAATTTATCACACATTTAGACTAAATTATGACATTTTAAACAATATTTACAAACTTTTTTTTTCAAGTTGCTCCTGCTTTAACGACCGACCGACTTTTAGAGACGAATGCAATGGCAATAACCGAGTTAAATCCGGTAAAAGAGACATACATATGACCAATTGGTCTGCACTTTCTGCCAGAATTTTGGTTGGTGCAAATATTTCCAAATTTCGACACGTACTCACTTTTGTAGGGGTGTCATGTAATGTAGGACATTCGCAATTTATGAGACTGCTTTCTCCTCGTGGAATTACCACGGAAAAGATTTGCATGTGGTGTAAATAGGCATGTGTGTGTAATCCCTACAACTTTATCCTTATTCATGTCATCAGTGGCCGCGGAAGTGGGGGGACGGGACAATGTCCCCACGGTTGTTCGATGTCCACTTGTTATATAAATCCCTCCCTCCCCTATCCTACAATGTCCCCACATGTCCCCACGGCTTCTGCGGCCACTGCATGCCATGTACATAAACTTGTAAAGATCACTTTGCTTTGCATCCAACTTTTCATGAATTATGCATTATGTCTGCAAAAATGAAATGTCCACAAAAATACAAGCTTCTCTCTCTCCTGCACGTTGCATACTATTTTTACGTTGTACTATTACTATTATTATAGGGTGACACCCTATTATGTGAAAACTTTGTCCGTCCGTCTGTCTGTCTCTCCGTCCGTCAGCAAGATCGAGATCGATTTGTGGCATAATGCATACGACCCCAGGGGGAGGATCGTATCAGCTTTTGGGGTCAATTTGACCCCCCTTCGAGGGGGTTGTGGTTATAAGCTTTATTTGGGAAATTAAGTACTGTTCTGGTTTCACCGTATCGTTACATTTGGTTTGTCATATAGTTTATTATTATGTATGCAATCGTTGCCGGTGGCTTGGCTTTGGCTTGTGCGTCAACTGTTGTAAATCATTAATCAGAAAGAGAGAGGGAAGGATGTAAAATTGATATTTTAGCAACTGCGTTGTAGCCCGGTGACAGTGACAAAGTAAAACATCTCGCGGAACAGACCATGACCTTACGTTTACGTTAACTAGCCAGCCAACCATCTCATTATTATCACATCTTTCTGGGGGCAATATATTTACATATGTAACACTATTAAATTGAAACATCAAACGCTTACCTGATCTGAGCTAAGTATGCTGAAATAAGTAACGTTACAAATTTAATTTACGCATAATTATCATAAAGTGGATTGAATTAATAATGAGTCCAGAGTATGAAATGTATTGTCAGCCTGGATTTCGTACCCGAAACTATGAAAACGTTACTACAAAAACTACTTACCTAAAGTCGTCGGGTGGATTTGTAATCACATATCGTTTCGATGGAGCTTCTGGATTTGCAGATGTATCCCGGAACCTGGAAAATACAGAAATTTAGTAAATTCCAAGTTTTCATTGATCTGCCTTTCTCTTTATTTGATACACTAGAGCACATCTTTGTTTTAATTTCAATCTACACACCACAGATAGGAAGAGAATTAGTAGTAATTTATATGTATCAATGAAAATTACTGAAAAAGGGAACAATTCAGGTGAAAGAAAGGATTGGAAATTATGAAAAACAGAGAAATCTGAGATTCTTGCAGATTTTTTTCAGTGGAAAAAATTCAATTCACATTAACCGATGTGCTCTCGTATAATAAAAATGGAGAGTGGAGATGGCTTATCATCGTATTTATCATGATAACTATCCCACATCTCTCCGGTAAAACTTGTTAGTGAGATAAGTAGGAAGAAAAAATGGGTATTTTTATTTACATTGGCAGTAACCTGTGTGTCGATAGCAGCAGAACATGTAAGAAGGAAGAAGAAAACATATTTGCATGGATTAGAATAAGTGGTTCGGAATTTTTGCTAAATTTCTACAAAATTTTTATATAGGGAAGCAACCCATGGTTAATAATAAACACTGAAAAACGCTAAAAATTAGCAACGTACCGGTACAAGCCAATGCACAGCATGCCATATTGTCGCAACGCGGCGGCGAATAATTCGCCATATTTGCCATTCTCGTACTGGGATAAAGGACCATCAAAAAGACCAATTTGGCCGACACGACATCTGCAATTTTTTAGCATTCTTTTAGCTTATCGGTCCTCCGAATTTACATATTTATTGCAGAAAAATACTTACCTGTCTCTATGCGCCAAAGTTTCCGGTGTGCTGTAGCCCCCTGTTTTTTTAGAGAAATTTTTAGTATGCAACTTTCTTAATGAATTTTTATAGTACAAAATTTGAATTTTTATGAAAAAAATTTACCACGAAGTCCGGCTCCCTCCGCTAAAATCAGTTCCAGTTCGGGCGTTGCTCCTCCCGTTATCAGGGATCGAATCAGGGTGAGTGCGTTTTGATTAAAGTATGTCTGCGAATTTAGAAATAAATAAATTTGTTCAAAAATTGATTCTCAAAAAAATTATGAAATTATCAAAATATTTTGATTGTTTCCACTCACAGTAGACATTAGAGAGTCCAAGACCGAAACGGCGAAAGCAGTACCACAGGCTAAAATTTAGATTTTTTAATAAATTAATACTTATTTTTGGCGTACTTTATATATTTAACTAATCTCAAATTACCAAAAGGCTGAGTTAAATATAATTCTGTGTCTGGATCGTCGTCGTCATCTTGATCCAAAAACTGATAAATAATGAAATTTTGTTAGTAATTGGACATCGTAAAGGGGACAATGTCTACATAGTGTGGGTTCGATTTCTGTTTTATTCCCGGAAAACGAGGGGAATCAAATCCCGAAAAATTCCCACGGCCCGTAAAAAACGGACCCTAAAAATCCTCGAAAATTTCCGTCAACTTTAAAAATTTCCGAAAACGTTCAAAATTTTCCCTCCGGCAAACGCGTTTACACCACAAATCGAACCCACGGTACATCTCAGCATTTATTTGGCATTACCTGGACGTTGCTGTCATTAACAAGCTCTGGAAAAGGGGACATTTTATTACACGTATGGAAAACAAGGATAAGTTGCATAAGAATAATTAGGATATGAAACGGACCAGTGATCATGGGGACATTTGACCCATACACGGATCCCCTTCGTTGGAGAACAATGGGACTTCCGAGCGGGCTAGATCGTTCGGTCCCCCCAGTGCTCGACGCTTTGCTCATGACCCCAATCGTGTCATCGAATGTCATAGCTTTTTTGGAGGATAAGACAATTAGTTAAGTCCAAATTTAAGAAATAAAATTAATCAGTGGCCGCGGAAGCCGTGGGGACATTAACATTGTAGGATAGGGGAGGGACGGGTTTGTGTAACATGGGAAGATGATGGGGACATCGAACAACCGTGGGGACATTGTCCCTCTGTCCGCGGCCACTGATTTGATACTTGAACATAATTACCCTTAATGTTGAGAGAAGCTAAAATAGCTGAAATATAAAGGTAAATATTCATTAGTCATTTTTCATCGTTATTTTTTAACGGTAGTCCATTTAGCTACTTACCTTCTTTATCTGCTAGGGTGGGGTCATCATTCGACGGCACTTTGGCAGATAAAATCACACACCTTGACAAAAACAATTAAGGAAAAATCACATTTACATAAAGAAACTCATTCATTATCAAATGAAATTTTAAATACACACATGTCACACAAGTTGACGTTCACTGCTCGCAAATCTGCACGGCTTAGTGGCGATCCCTGCGGAAAAAGAGATGCAGAAATTTAGGAATTATCTAAATCTCTATGATAAATCATTAATCAATTTGGCAAAATTGCACATAATTGGCAAGTTTAACAACTAATTCTTAAGTTCTACATATGCAAATATTCAGCATTTTGCACGTAAATAAATGAAAAAAGTTGCAAATTTAAAAAATTTGTGTCAATTTGACGACGTAAAAATAATTTTTTGATAATTTAAGTTACTAAACGGAAAACAGATTCGTCAATCATCATACAAAATTCAATTAATAATTTTAATTTTAAGGAATCAAAGTCTTACATTTAGAATGGAAATCTTTGGTAAATTTTGTAGCATTTTCCACTCTCTTCTGATGTAATCCAGAGAACCCACGATAACCACGTGCTTCAATTCGTGGTAATGGAAATTCGAAGCTCTGTAAATTACACACATTATTTATTATGAATTTTAATTAATTAATAATCGAAATAAACCACAACAATTTCTTACCGCAAAGGCATCACAAGATTTCTTAAACCGATCAAGGGAGAATCTGCGAGATGAGAATATACATCATAATTTTGCAAATTGTGCCAAAAATAATATAATGCCAAATAAGCAAGATTTGTGTATTTGATTAATTACCTGGATCGGCAAAGAGACAAACGACCACGTGCCCATTAAGGACAGTCATGGCGGCTTGGTTCCGGTCTAGAATACATTCCTCAATATTTCTCGAGGGGCACCAGTGAAACCTTAATATGCAAATTAATCAATAAATAATTGGGTATTATTAGAGTGAAAATATTTATTTATGTCCATACATTCCCGTCGAGTCGTATTTCATTTCGGTTTTTTCGAAATCAAAGTCTTTCGCTTGGTCGTCCGCAATGCCGACTTGCATTTGGTTCGCGGTCGCATTTCCGACGCCATTTCCGGGTGCTTGCGTTCTACTCGTGGGCCTAGAAAAGGGATAACTTTGTTTTAACCGAGTGTACAGATTTATTTAACAAGCAATGATTCATTAATATTAATATTAATTAGTTGCATTAATTAATTAATAAATGTTAATTTAACACATATTATTTACATGAGTTTCTTGACTTCGTAAGAGAGGTGATATCCGGCCAGGGCGTCCTCCACCTCGGGAACTCTGTCAAAACAGGGAGTCGTCATGCCGTTTTTAGTTTGCCAAACATTAAGGATTACAGCACAAATATTTATTAAGGGGATTTTAGTAGTTGGTATTAAACCGAAATGGAAAATTATCCTCTCTGAGCGTACTCACAACAACGTCTTATTTAACATCCAGCTCATTTAGCAAAATTGCGAAATTTGTGTGGTAGGGGATTCGTAAAATAAGATGATTTTGCAAATCTGTAAAAACAGTTCTGTCTTCCTATTTCAATTTGGTTTCAATGGATTTGCAATTTCTAAAGCATTTAAGGGTACTTGAGTTTGCGAAATAAGCTTGCGAAATATATGCAGAAACATGTAAAGATGTTGAAACATGCCCACATCCTGGAAAAAAATCATATCGTTTTTCGGCAGAAGTTTTGCGAAATCTTGCAAATTACGCAAGTTATGTTGCAAATTTGCGAAGGTTGGCGTGAGTACGCTCTTTCTAAATATCTGTGTACATCACAATAATCATTTAATGGTAATCATTTAGTGGTTGGTAAATAATTAAACCCCGGTATCTCACTAATACCACTTTTCCAGCCAACTTTCTCCTCCACTAATTCAATAAATCCGTGTAATGTGAAGAAGAAAGTAAATATTTGGTTAGCAATAAATCACAATTTTCCCACCCACCTATTCACCGCGTTCGGAGTGTTAAGTTGATTGTCCGTGGAAATCCCATTGTTTGACTTGTTCTTAGGAGTTTTTCCGCCGGGAGGGGCGATCGAGTTCAATCTGGGTTTCGGCGTCTGGTTCAGCACTGCTCCGACCCCGGCTGTCAAAGAAAGATCATCGCCCAAATTAATCCCCATTCTTCTCGAGAGAGGAAACATTTATTGCTTGCTAGATATTATTGCGCGCTTTTGATTATTAGCTGGCAGCCAGTGATTGATTTTAAATAAGTAATTAATTGATTGAAGAACTGGAACTGAACATGTTTGGTTAGTTGGTTTGGGTGGGTTTGATTAAGTATCTATGAATTAGTGAGATTGCAAACTAGATAGTATAGGAGGTGAGAGAAAGAGAAAGTTAATAGTTCAAATTGGTGAGTGTGGATAGTGGGGGTGAGGTGAGGTGAGGTGCATTCTTAAGGATTTACAGTATTTTAGTGGTGGTGGTGGTGAAAGTGGTGGTGAAAGTGCACTTACTACTTTATTAGTTAGTGCTGCTAAAATATTATATTTAGTTAATTAGGGAGAGTAAGGATGCGACTAACAGTACAATGGATATGCTAGGCTTGTTCGCGTTCTAATTATTTTGGAAACCTGTTAAATACAAAATTTTAACTTCAAAACTTTGACACGTATGCAAAAAAACAAAAAAGAGATTTTGTACAATTTTAATACAAAAACGGCTCCGTTTTCCAGAGGGAAATCATTATTGAGGACGTTGAAACCATTTATTTGTCAACAATTTTCCACGATTTTTAATTCTAAAGTTTAAAAATCCGTGGTTTTTGCAAATTTTGAACTAGAAATTATTTGTATTTAGAAGATGTTTGGAATTGTACAGGTTGCAAAAAATCTGCAAGCAACACGCCTCGCTTATCCATTGTACGTCACCCATGGATGGACTGACAATTAGGTGATTAAATTGTTATTATTATCCTTCTACTTCTACTACCACATATTAGTTTTTAAATTTTTTATTACGGGTGTGGTGCATCGCCGTGCATAAGTTGTAGAGATCGAGCGTCATCATCAAATCATACACATTACAAACAGTGCGTGGTTGGTGAAAGTGAAAGTAAGTGAAAGTAAGTAAGTAAATGTAATAATTTGTAATTGGTTGGTTGGTGCATTGAGTGGACATTTAGTTTTGGTCAGCGTTACATTCCCATTGCTTTTTTATAGTAGCTCAATACCGTACCTGTCGAGTCAGTCCTGTCGCCCCGGTTGTTATCCTGGCCTGCAAGATAGAGTATGCGATCTGGGATAAATTACAAGCTTCTTGAAATAAAAATGGTTTGCGGTGGTGGTGGTGGTGGTAGCGAGCATTGCTTGAATTTAATCATTAATTACTGGTTAAATATTTGGTTTGTTCACTTTAACTAGTGCTAATAAATGGCATACTAATAAATATTATTCGTTACTGCTGGGCTGGGGTACTAGCTCGGTCGTTATATATTATGTAAAAAAAGATTAATGTAAGCGTGTTAAATGGTGGTAGATACGAATTCTAGTGCTTATTTACATAAGTAAAAAGGGTGTATTTATATATCAAATATTTAAAATCGACTTTCTCATCTATTTAGCTTAATTGTGTGGGTCCGATTTCAGCTTTATTTGCAACAAAAGGGGGAAGAAAATCCCGGAAAGTTCCCACGCCAATAAAAAAAGCTTCTAAAAAAGCTTGAAAATTCCAGGAAAATTTCAAAATTTACTAAAAATGCTCGAAAATTCCCGGAAACTATCCCCCACTTTCCGGCAAACGAGTTTTCACCAGAAATCGAACTCACGCTTAACCGGATAAATCTCGTAGCTTCATGCAAATATTTATGTAATTTGCGCATTCCGTAAATTTTACAGGGCTAATATTAAGGAAATAAATACCTAAAATATGACGACAGTTTAATTATTCGGTTGCAATTGAAATTTGGAAATGCAATCCAATTTGGTCGAACATTACAAAGCCAAACGAACCACTAAGCGATGCACAAACTGTAAAAGAACTGTACGGATGCTACGGTAATAAAACGACATCAATGTAACATTATTATCCCTTTACAGAAACCTATCAGACTGTAATTACTGTTCATCCCATCCAATATTATTAGTCGCAATTTCTTGGAAAATTTTCTGAGAGGTTATTTGGTTGCTAATTGAAAAATAAATAATCTGCCAGGTAACCTTTCAGAATTTTTTGCGACTAATAATACTGGACGAACAGTAGGAACCATTAAAAAGCCCAATTTTCCACAGATTACTGCATAATTAAAATCTCAATAAGACTACACGTGCATTACAAGAAACCACATTAACAAAAGCCTAAAATTTGCTACGACAACAATTATCACGAGAGAAGAGAAAGTTTCAACGGAAGCAGAAGCTGAGCAGAGAAAGAGAGATACAAAAAGTATTTTCTTATTCAACGCTCTCAAAACGGTCGGGTCAATCGGTGTGCTAAATAAATAATTATTTTAGTGATGATAGCTGTGTGATAGCAACGGCGGCAGTATTTTTTTGCATGTGGTAGAATTTCTTTCTTCCCTGGATAATTATTTAGAATTGTGTGTAATGGATGGTAAATAGATAAATGGAATTGGGTTTAGATAAGAACAGTGGCCGCGGAAGGGTGTGGACAGAGGGACAATGTCCCCACGGGTATTCGAAATCCCCCTCATCTGCCCATGCTATACAGACCCCTCCCTCTCCCCATCCTACAAATTTATTGTCCCCACATGTCCCCACAGCTTCCGCGGCCACTGACGAGACGTTCCATTTGTTAAGAAATACAATGGCCGCGGAAGCGTGCCGGAAAAGGGACAATATCCCCACGGTTACTTGATCTCCTCATAATCTACCAACCTTCCATATATAAATTCCTCCCTCCCCCCATCCTACAATGTAAATGTCCCCCGATGTCCACACAACTTCCGCAGCCACTGGATAAAAATGTAGCGATATGTGCAATTCTCTCGGTGTGCCTGTGAATGCTAAAAATCGGTGGTGAAAGTTGCTGGATCACTAATAGTTAAGTAAAGAAGTGAGAAAATTGTACTGAAAGGCGGGAGGCTGGGTGAAGAGAAAGTTTTGAGTTGGCTACCTCGGATATGAACGTATTTCGGAATCTCTGGGGGAGTGTACGTAGGATTGAGAGTTGGGTCTCCTACCAACCAAACATATCCAGTTTAGTACCAAACCACACCAATTATCATTACACAATACACAATTATTCACTAATAAACATGTAACTTCGTCACTAAACATGTACATAACTTCACTAAATAAATACACTAATGTGTAGAAAACAAGGTCAAATTATTAGTTCATTAAGTGGTTAACTAATTTATAAGTGACATCACAAAGATGCAGCAGAAGATGCGAAATTACCAAGGTTTCAATCTATTTAATAGTATTTAGTAGTAGGAAAGTTGGGTTAGTTATTATCGGTTGCATCATAATCATCATCATATTTCTTTTTCGGGTTAATTATTACAATACGGTACAATTCGTTCAGTGGCCGCGGAAGCGTGAGGTCTCGGGGACAATGTCCCCACGGTTATTCGATGTCCCCATCATCTGCCCATCTTAAATAAACCTCTCCCATATCCTACACTGGCAATGTCCCAGATGTCCCCACGGCTTCCGCGGCCACTGAATTATTCTCTTTATTGAAGTTGCAAGAATTAAACGATGCACTTTTCTAATTAAAGCTTGTATAAAATCCAACCAACATCCATTCCAAGTTTTTTTAGAGTAAATATTTTCTTGTGGCATTCTTTAACTAGTCAGAGTCGGAAATGATGCAGAGCACAGTACAGAATTATTTTCAGTGTACGAACAACATTGACACGACAACAATGCTTTTTCAACTATGGTTCGTTCAAAAATAATATGCAATAAAAAATCTGAAAAGTTATTTGGCCCATGATTGGTTTCCATGATTTGATTTTGTTTAAAACTTCATTATTTTCCAACTTTCACTTGATGCAAAAGTTGAATAAATATGAATAATTAAACCGTTGTAAATGACAATCAGGAACTGTTTAACATTTTTTGGACTTTTCTACATATTAATTTGGAACGAACATGACTAAATATTAAAGCCGGACAAAAAACAGCAAATATTTACGACACCAAGAAACAAGACAGGCAGGCAAAACACGTTCAACGAGGACAAGGAGACATGGCATCGATGGTGAGGGTGTGGTTTAAGGAGGTGTGGTTAGGGGAAGGACATGTTTTTCATCAATCTCAATCACAATATTCAGGGATCTCACATTAAGTAAAAGAAAAAATACAAAATTTTATTTTCCCAACTCTTCTCGAATGTTGGTTGTTCTTATTTTTATTTTTTGTGAACCAGCCAAAACATATAGATGTGTGAATTTTGAAGTATTTTTTAATTAGTGCTGGTGCAGTTGGGAGTAAGTATAAGCTTCTACAGGGATTTGATACGGTTGTGAGTTAGTAAATATTTATATATATACATAGAGACAGATTGAACTAAAAAAAAGAAGGGGTAAAAGCGTGGGTTCGATTTCTGCTGCTTTCTCCCAGGAAAACGGGGGAATAAAATCCCGGAAAATTCCCACGGACCCTTAAAATGCTCGAAAACTTTCAAAATTTCGAAAAAAAGTTCAAAAATCCCCCCAAACCCGGTTTACCGGCAAACGCGTAATCGAACCCACGGGTGAAAGTTATACGTAATGTGAGTGAGAGAGTGGTGATAGACGGGAGAAAGGAGAGCCAGGACTTACCAGTATTATTATAGTTCGAATAGTCATCGCCTATTCAGGACAAAAACAGAGAAACACATAGAACACGATCAGCGTATAAGAAGTAGGCAATCAATCAACAATGTCAAAGTATAGGTTAAACTGGAAGAAGAAGAAGATGCTAAAATCTCCCAGGACGAGAAGAATACCTTCATCGACTTTCTTTTTAAATGTTGTGTAACAAAAGAATAAATAAATAATACAATATTTTATAATAGAGAGGTTGCGCAAGAGTAATCTAGTGCAAGTATGATTGTAATTTTGACTGTAGATTTATCAGTTGTAATACACTTGGAATCAAAATTACAATCACAATAAAAAATACTCTTACACAACCTCTTACCTCTCTAAAAATTGTAAAAATATTAGAGAGGTTTCGCAAGAGTATTTTGCGATTGTGAGTGTAATTTTGATTGTAGAACATAAATTACAATCACAAAAATTACTATTTCGCAATCTCCTTAATATCATAAAAATAAATGTATTTTTAAAACGACAATATTGCTAAGTAAATTAACATTTAACTCAACAAATAAAATAAAATCCGAGGAGAAACTACATAAATAAATTACATGTACGAACTTATAAAAACGCTATAAATATAATATGCTACACACATCTCGCAAACAAAACATTTCACATTGAGTAAAATAAATAAGTAAACGCTTTTGTAAAATTACTACAAAACCGACTACGAAATACACAGACAAACATTAATGCAACAACGCACAATTAGGTTTTTTGATGGACGATGATTTATCGGGGACCTTGACGGACTTAAGTAAGTTATGTAATAACCGAAAACTCTACAAACCACTAGCTCAGTCTTTCTTCCCTGGACTTGAAACGCGTTACTGTTATTCTTAACTCGTAATATTATTGGAAGGTTTGTTATGTAACCTTCATTAAAACTTGGTAAATACACAAGTTCAGTGGTTCAAATTATGTAGAAATGTTCGTGGTTTGGTCTGGTCGATACGAATGAATATGGTAATAAAAACATCAACTCACTAGCTCTCCCGACCGCTTGGACTGCTCGAACGCCTTTTCGGAACGTGGCCACTGGAAAATTGGACAAAGTTTGGTTAATCATGAGAGACCCAAGCGTTGTAATTAATCGTTGTATTTAATTTAGTAAATGTAAATGGGTTAAACCACACAACATTTAAATACATATTGGGGGTATTCATTGCGAATTCGCACTATTAGGAAAAAAATTAGGATTGCAAAATCTGCGAATTTTTGCAACTTCCAGGTTAGTGTTTACTGTTCAGCCTGTCTCAATTCCTTGGAAATTTTTCTGAGAGGTTATTTCGTTTTTGGAAAATAGTGTAAACTATCTGCCAGGAAACCTTTAAGATTTTTTTCAGACTATTAACACCGGCTGAACAATAGTTCGCAATTTTTCTTCAAACTTACGTTGCCATCCAAGTTCGTAATGAATACCCCTATTATGCATATATTATATTTGCGTAGATATATTATCCTCCCCCCTTGTTAAAAATATTTCCGAAAAAATAGACCAGTTTAAAGAAAGAAAAGTATGGGCAAAAAGTTATGAAAAAATAAGTTTTGGACCATGTTATACAGTAGATTTCTGTTAATTTTTATGGAAATTTAAGAGTATTTTGAGTGGAAAATAATAGAGTGGAAAAGAAATGAAACAAAAAAGAAAGAAAATAAGTCAGAAGTATGCTGATTTTAGTGCAGCTTTCTCCACAAACTTTCTCCACAGGGCAGCAAAGGATTAAAAACAATGCTCAAAATCGCACTCCATCGTGTTTCATTACCCTCATTACTACTTCGCCCACTTGAAATGGCTAAATCCTTATTCTGCATCATAAGAAGCATTCCGATATCTGCGCAATGGTGAATTTTTACAAAACAATAACAACCACAGTGGCGCCAACTTCAAAATTCAAAACCTCTTCTACATACACGAGTCAATTAATTATAATAATCTGTAAGTAAATGTGTAAACGTGTACGAAAAAAACTAGGACTAAATAACATGTAAAAATCACATGGACAAGTTTACAAGTAAATATTTTGTCAAGTTATTTTTTAACTTACAGTTCTTGCATTTGCACTTTTTTATCAACGTTTCGTCCGTCACGTGGTCATGACACGCTTTGCAGTAAAACCAGGCCCTGTTTGGAACAAATAAGAGAATTATTTGAGAAATATTGGGCTTACTCATGAACAACGTTGTATTTCGTATCGCAACTCATTTAGCAAATGTTGTGAAAATCTAAATATTTCTGCTGTAAGGGGATTCGCAAAATATGTCTTCGCAAATCTACTAGAAACCCATATTTTGACATTATTTCAATGAATTTCTGTAATTTCTCTTGCTGGTGGTAAGTTTGCGAACCAATTTTGCGAAATAAGAACATGCACAATTGCTGGGTAAATTTGCGAAAAAAAATCTCATCGTTTTCCAGCAAAATTTGTTGCAAAATTTCGCAGATCTCGCAAAACTTCGCAAGTTATGCTCAATTTTGCAAGATATGCGAAGGATTAACGCGAGTACGTTCATTATCTCCTTCGAAATCCTTCCATTAATGAAATGAAATGCACCTTTTAACTTCGTCAGCACTTTGCGCAATGAAAAATCCGACCGTGTTGGCTTGAATTTTCCCAATCCGTGGATTTATTTGGATCTTGGCGTCGCCTCCTTCCTCAGACTTGGTTTCCATTGCGAGCAGTAAGAGCTTCAGCTTGACGAAACACAGCCTACGAAAGAATCACATGACACAATTAATGGCATACTTAAGCTAGAACTGGATGAATCATCGTCAAACTCACCACATTTTTAATCATTTCTCGTCTCTGGAAATTTATTTTAAAATTCTGAACGACAAATTTGCAGTCAGTAAGGTGACTAATGGAATGACGGTAAGTTTTTTAAGTCAGTTTTGATTAGTTCCAATTTTTCCGAAGGCTTCTTAAACTTGAAATCTTCTTCAAAAACTGTTAAAATCTGGGGTGTATATTTCCAAAATTCGACGATGTATATTTTGCAAAATCTATAGTATATATTTTAAAATCTGAAATGTACATTTTTCAAAAATTGGCGCTGATCTGCTCTACAAATTTTGTGATCAAATTTTATGATCAAATTTTATATCGTCCAGAATTTTAAAAATAAATTTCCAGAGCCGAGAAATGATAAAAAATGCGATAATTTTTGACGATTTTGAAAACGAGTCATCATATTAAACGACTAATAATAATAATTTTAGTGTATACTCTGATGCTTGAGGAAAGGTCATTCCGACGAAGGAAGGGCTAAGCGTTTCAGTGTACATCTCACACCCGGTGCCTTGCAGGTAGTCATTCTGCCATGCTTGAGTGTCAGGGGACTGAAATGACCAAAAATTGTTTATGCCTTCTCATTAACACGATTTTATAGCACTTTAACACCCACCGTTTTAAAGGATCTCATCGCAAATAAATTGGCCATCATGGTCGAAAAACCAGGAGCCAGACAGGATTGCGCGATGAATCCTAGTTTGAGCTGAAAATAATAATTACACAGGTTAATTAACCAATTAGAGCAGGAATCGAGCATCATTTCATTAAAGGTTTACCTCGGCAAGGCAAATCACATCGTCACCACGCTTCCAGTCCCAACTGGGAATATTTAGCAGGTACGCCTAGGAAAATACATAAATTTGCATATTAATTTGTTACGATTTTGCATATTCAAACATTGCAAAACCCTCTGTATGTAACTAACTATCAACACCTTTTGATTACTACTTTTTAGTCTCACACCAACAATTATTTGGTGTTGATTAGTCATAAAAAGTATCACTTTTCATAAAATCCTGGCTCGTTTGTGAAAGTGGTGAAAGTCGGTCAGAGACTAATTTGACGAGGGCTCAGCCATCGTAACCTTCCCGAAGGGTTCGAAACGACTTTACTCAACCACTCTGGCTAATTGGCAAGATTATACGACCACCAACTGCTGCTAACTCTCTCGTCACCAGAATTTTATGACTGAATTACTATTCAATTATTACCTTATTATGATATTGCATCAACTGGATGATGACGCGAACCTCGTCGCTAAAATTTTCTACAGGGAAAAAGAAAATGCATTTTTAACCGTTATTAGATTTACTTTCCTCGTGAGCTACTTAAGCGAAGTGCATCACGCCATTTATTCAAATTTGTGGGTATAACTTACTGATGGAAATGACTCTCATAATGTTGGCAGCATCCTAGAAATCGGGAAGATAGGAGTGAATTTGAACCTTCTACCAGTGGCCGCGGAAGCTTGAGGGGACAAAGAGGGACAATGTCCCTACGGTTATTCGATGTCCGCATCATCTCCCCACCTTATGTAAACCCGTCCCTCCCTTAATCATACAATGGTAATGTCCCCAGAGATTCCCACGGCTTCCGCGGCCACTTCAGAGATGTTCCATTTGTTAAGAGATACAGTGACGGCGGAAGTGTGGGGACGGAGGGGCAATATTCCCACGCATATTCGACGTCCCCATCTTATATAAACCCGTCCCTCCCCCCATCCTACAATGACAATGTCCCCCGATGTCCCCACGGCTTCCGCGGCCACTTCAGAGATGTTCCATTTGTTAAGAGATACAGTGACGGCGGAAGTGTGGGGACGGAGGGGCAATATTCCCACGCATATTCGACGTCCCCATCTTATATAAACCCGTCCCTCCCCCCATCCTACAATGACAATGTCCCCCGATGTCCCCACGGCTTCCGCGGCCACTTCAGAGATGTTCCATTTGTTAAGAGATACAGTGACGGCGGAAGTGTGGGGACGGAGGGACAATGTCCCCACGGTTATTCGATGTCCCCATCTTATATAAACCCTCCCCCCATCCTACAATGGCAATGTCCCCTTATGTCCCCACAACTTCCGGGGCCACTGCGTATCAGAGATGTGTAAATGTACTTACCTCAGCATCCGGGTCTTGGCAATACTTGTTCGCCAGCACGAGGCAAGCATCCGCCTCATGGACCTACATTAAGATCACACAAGCGTTAATTTCATCATGCACCTGTTCCCCAAGTCCATTAAATCACAACGTGTTAGAGATATTAAAAATAAACTTTTTTCTCTCAAATGTAGATCACAAGCAGGCAAGCAAGCTTGTAACTTTTAGCACAAAGCATTCACTGTTTATTTAAGCCGAACAAGCATTAGGCGACGAAGAGCTAAATAAATATTATGTGTTTCATAACCGACTTTTGTGCAGTACGGAAGCACGGTGTTAAAAGCGTTTTACAAAAAAATTGTACAATTTTCAGACTTACAAGGGAACGTACCAAGGTGTCAAATGAGTCGAGTTTTCATTAATTTTTTAGTCACCCAATTTGTAGCGGAAATAAGTAATGTTTCTGAGAATTAGTTATGCAGAATTGAATTTTTTGTATGTAAAGAGCCCCCCACACTTGAAATTATGCAAATAGGTACACTCGTCACAGATTTAGTCCCAACAACTTGACCAAAAGTAAATTTTACACGGAAATTACTTCACTTTACTGAAAAAGTCATGCAAATTTTTCCATGCATTTTGTCATGCTGGTATTGACCCTTAACTTGTTTAACACCATGGTACGTTCCCTTGTCAGATGAAGAAATAATGTCAAAATAATTCTTAAATTAACGTAATTTTAAGAAATTATTGCTGCAATAACTCATGTTTTTTTTCATGCAGAATAAATGACACAAATACATGTATGATGATGACCCTACGAAATATTTTCTGTAAAATGTTCTACTTAATCTGGTGTTTTATCCTTTTTTATGTGTACCAACTCGATAAAAATATGAGCACTACGGGAAATTTATGACTGTGTCAAAACTGCACCGCCAGCAAAACGTGGGATCATCCTACTTTCTCTTTTTCCAAGAGAAATTGGGGTGCCAGGAATCTCGCATAACTTTCCTTCAACTTTTGCAAATAGTTGGATCTTTCATCCACCTTACCGACCACATTACATTCTGAATTCTAATCTCAACGGGATGCAGAAAAGAATATAGTGTGTGCACCAGTGGCCGCGGAAGGTGTGGGGACATGTACATTGAGCGTACATTGAGAAGTTTTACGAGATTTCGCAAAAATTTGGCTAGAAAACCATGATTTTTTTTCGCAAATTTACCCAGCAATTGGGCATGTTCTTATTTCGCAAAATTATTTCTCAAACTCATCCTCACCAGAAAGAGATAATCTTTGAAAACAATGTCGAAATTGGTGTCTTTAGTAGATTTGCGAAGTCATATTTTGCGAATCCCTTCGGGACATAATTTTTTGATTTTCGCAAGTTTTCTAAATTATTTGCGATGCGAAATTAGACATTGTCGTGAGTACGCCCATTGTAGGAGAGGGGAAGGACGGGTTTATATAAGATGGGGAGATGATGGGGACATCGCATAACCGTGGGGACATTGTCCCTCTGTCCCCTCACCCTTCCGCGGCCACTGCTGCATGCTATTCCAAGTTTTGCAGCTCATTTCCCTTGAGACACTGAATTTTTGTGGATCATTGTTCCTTCTCCTCGGACAAAACTCTTGGCTTGGGATGAACAATAATTTATGGTGAGGTGGTGGTGGTGGTAGGTGGAATGTGGAATGTGGGAGAAATTGTGGAGATCAATCAACGTCATCGAAAACAATACTGTATAACTATTCGGTAATCCTGGTGGTTACAGGGATGCATTTTGCTTACGAACAATGGAGGTCTCCCAGTATACGCTCTCCGATTTTGAGACAACTATGGTCTGTGAATTAAAATTAGATATAATTTTGTGTGCATTTCTTTAAAATAATTAGGCCTAATTATAAAATAGCCACCCTATTGCCAATCTATCGAAAATTTAAGAAGTATTAAATTTGCAAAAGACACGATCTCCCAATGGGCACTTTTAGCAGAGATATTTGCATCCCAGGAGGAGAAAGCGCGCAGCAAATTTCGAAAGTGTAAAATTTGTCGCCTTTAAGGCGCGTTTTCTCCTCTTCGGATGCAAATATTTCGGCCAAATGTGCCCATTGGGAGATCGTGCCTTTCGCAAATTTCATACCAATTAAATTTTCGATCAATTCCTACTAATTTGCCAAAAATCTGAGGCCAATCTGCGGAATCCAGAGACCATACACTGGGAGATCTCCATTGTTAAACAGATTAGTAAACTTTCTTCCTACATACTTTGTGTGTGGGTGAGATGTGAAAACAGCACGTCGGGTATATTGTCATTTCCTTTCTCTCTTTGTAAGTAGGATTGTCTTTCATAATTCATAATTTCGTAACCTTCGCACAACTCAAGTCAAGTTCTCCTTGAATTATTCGGATTTCGAGCCTCTCTTGAGAAGGAGAAAGTCTTTGTGGTGCACAATGCTGAGTGGCCGGCTTACTTTCTCCTTGAGTAAAATTATATAGTACGGGAGAGAAGTGTTGGTTGGACGAGGTGCTAATTTTGATGCAACCTCATTAATTCAATTTTGAATTATTCAACTTTAATCTGATCTCATTTGTAAGTTTCTCTCCGGTCTGGAAATCAGTGGCCGCGGAAGCGGTGAGAATTTTTCGGGGCATTAACATAATTGTGTAGGGAAAGCAAGGGTTCACATAACATGGGGAGATACGTGGTAGGGTTGTCGATTAGGGTGATTGTCCCTCTGTCCCCACACTTCCGCGGCCACTGTGCTTATTAAAGTTTCCCTACTGCGTAAATTTGTATGTATGCTAATACTCATGTATTCGAGTCATGTGAATGTTTAACTCCTAATTTGCATGTAAATATTTCATTGCGAATCTCTGCTCTATTCTGTGCTAAAAAAATATGGTGTAAAGTATGTCACTTGTTGTCACCTTTAAATGACAATTTCATCACCAAAACTATTTACTACTCAATTGCTTCATTAAACTATTTCGAAATTACGAAAGCAACCCATAGCTAAATAGTGGTATTTATGTAGCTGCAAGTTTTTTCTGATGCAAACAATAACGTGTATTTTGTGCTTTACAACAATATATTGTCCACAATTAAGACGTCTTTGTGAGTTTTTCTTGTTTAAACACAGAAACATTAATTACGTACATCAATCAATTGACGAGACAAATTGCTCAACACGACTAAATTGCTCTGCAGCTGCTGCGCTTATTTTCCTTGAAAATGTGCATTTTTTAAAAAACTTTTTTTTTCTAGCCATTTTGCTCGTCATTGGCAGAACAACAACAATCACGAATATATAAATGCGTACATCGAACATTTACACAGTTGACAGTGGATTCGATTACCTTGACCCTTTGCAGGTCCTGTTTTATCCAGTCCGAAAGTCATCAAAGGGTAGAGAAATGCAGAGAAAGAGATGTTTTTTTAGAACGAGGCGACCTAATCTAAATCTTAATCTTAATCTTACGATCGGATTCATAATCGTCCCTTGGAAAAATTCTACCGTTGTGAAATGTCTCTTAAAAAGACCTTGAAAATAAGGAAAATCAGGATGAAAACCTTGAATATTTGCACTTTTGTCTGTAAAACGCAGAATTTCGTAGCGGCGACTTTCTAATTTTCTCTAATTTGCTCACCTTCTAGCTCCAAGTCCGGTGGTTTTCTATGTAAAGTAAGGTTTTGTCAAGAAACTAGGTAGATTGTTATGGTCTGTGCATTAAAACTAGACCATTTTTTGTATTTGTTTCTTATACAAAAATGGTCTAATTGTAAAATACCAACCATAATGAGATCTGTGTGTATTTAAGATTTAAATTGTATGTCGAATTGTTTGTGAACCTCGCAATATTATTTATGTGTTTTCTACCTTATCGTATTCTTATTCTTATTATTAATTATTTCCACCCTATTCATTTGTCATTGATGATACGAAGTAAAACTCAATCATTTAACGTAACTAAATCCAAATAAAGTATGAATGAATACATATTTAATATTTAATATTAGTAGTAATACATAAGTTTATAAGCGGGTTAAAATTTTCAAACCTATAAAAAATAGAAAGTGAAAGTACTAAATTTACGTAATAATAATAATCTACGAAGAAGATCTATGAGCGAGAAATATAAAAATTTAGTCAATGATGGAATGTATTAGTATGCATTTTGCTCTGCAAATTAAGATTTTTATCAAATTTTACTCTCATCAAAAAGGGTAAGAAATTCGGGGGTAAGAAATACATCGACTAAAAGCAACAATGCTAATTAATTAATTAAGTATTGCTAATTATATGGTAAAGAATGGGGAATAAATTGATAAAACATGTTAGTTTCTTTTCCTTTAAACCTTGAAAATATTTTGAAAATATTTTGTCTACATTTTAAAATTAATTAAATGGATCATACGAAGCAAACAGAAACGGTTAAGATTTTTTTTTTGGTTTTTAAAGCTGTTTAAGAAAGAAAGTAAGAGTAATATTATTATTGGAAAAAGGGGGGGGGGTCTGAAGGGGGATATAATCCTCTAACCTTGACTCTCTCAAGATCACCACTGCACATCATACTCCCTTGGAAAAATTTGACCGTCGTATAGTGGCGCTTCAGCAACCCTTCTAACTCCAAATCCGGTTCTTTCCTAATTTTTCCTCATAAAATTTACCATTTGCATATTCCAATCTAATAATTATGAGGAGGATGAAGTAAAATGTTACACAAATCTACGACATTCTCTTCTTCACTTTTTTTAGTATTTGGGTAAAGGTTGTTAGTTTAGTAGTATTTAACTTGTCCTCGACAAGGTATTAATTAATTGTTATTATCATAAATATTACGGTATTTTTTTTATTAGTGCGTGTTAAGTTTTGTGTTAGATGTGAATTATTATCATTATTTTTTTAGAGAAATAATTAATTTAAAAGATGAGAATTTCTTACCGGTGAAGAAAGACTACTTCAACGTCGACATCTTCTCTGTCCTCGTGGAGAAAGTCTTTTAAGAAGTGAGACACGGATTCGTACGTTATGTGTCCACATACGACGATATGCCTACGCAGGTTAAAATTAGATTAGTTTCATACTTATGATGGGTGAAAGTCACTCACAGCTCAAAAATCAAGATAAATGACATATAATGTTCATTTTTACTGACTAAAAGGAGAAAGCGGCTCGTATTTTTAATCGTATTTCGTTTCATTTAGTAAAAAAATATTATAAAAGCAGCCCACTTTCACTTTTTGGTCGTTTTTATCACGACTGACTAAGAGGAGAAAGCAGCTCTTAGTTTTAATCGTATTTCGTATCTCGTTGAATAAAAAATACGTGAATTTTAAACCTAGCTTGCTTTTACTTTTTGGTCGTTATTACGTATCACGACTGGTTAAAAGGAGAAAGCAGCTACTCATTTTTGATCATATTTCGTATCTCGTTTAGTAAGGAAAATACATTAAAAGTAGCTCGCTTTCACTTTTTAGTCGTTATTATTACGACTGTCTAAAAGGAGAAAGCAGCTCTTATTTTTAATCGTATTTCGTCTAATAAAAACATATTAAAGGTAGCCCGCTTTCACCTTTTAGGTCATTATTACATAAAGAAAAAAAATCATAGTGTTGCTTAATGTTTATGTATGAATGGTAAATGTAAAATTTTTGATTTGATGTGACAGAGAAAGTCAAAGTTATTTTTATGTTTGTTTTGTAAAGGTGTCAGTGAGCATGTACACAGAATTCTGCGTGTCTGATAATGCTTTTTGTGTTATATGTTTGTATCCATGTTCGGGGAAAGGTGACATTTTGGGAAAAGGAGGTTGTAAATTGACAAGGTTGAAGCATTAAGCAAGCACAAGTCTAAAATTACTCAAGTTAAACTAACAGTTTTTAAAAGAAAGTGCTCTTAGTAAACACAAAAATAGATACTTATTTCGAACCACTACGGGGGGAAAGTGGTGAGAAAAGAGAAAAGCAAGTGTAAGTAAATAGTGTAACAGGACGGATTTCTTCTCCTTAAAGTACAATTATTTAAATAAGCAAATTTCCCTTACTTTCAAAACGCTAAAAATGTTAATTAATTAATGCAATTTTATTCAGTGTTCCTGCCATAATTTTCCATTTCTTAATTGTCAACTAATACTTGCCACTGAAGAAAGTATTTATTTACGAAAGAGAAAGTTCATTACCTATAAAATACACAAAGTCTGTTTTCTGTTTTCTAGTTGCATCATCATCGACATCATCATCATCATCAATCTCCTCCCATGAGACTACTTTAGCCTCGTCCTCCATGTCATAAATATGTGAGGATTGCATTTTTAAATAGTTAAATATTTAAATACAAAAAGAAAACATAATTATAATCCAATAATTCAATTCCAAAGTCTACTGGCTCACTACAAATTTTCTCTTTTTACTACAACTCTACTCATATTACGTACACGACTAATAATTTTCTATGGAAACAATGTCACTAACTAAATGACACAGTAAATAAGTGGTGTACTGTATACGACTTTCACTATCGGCATGTACACGCAAGCGGACCAATACATACAACAAAGATACACTGCAATAAATAAGTATAGGTGTACGACTACATAGTGTGTTTACGACACATAAATACAGAATAGGCATGCACACATACAAAAATGTGACATGTGGTGGTGAAAAAGAAAGTGAGATAGAGAAATATAGAAACAGCACATTACATTACACAGATTTTTTACTGGAAAATACGAAAAAAGAAAGGACAAGAAATAAAAAAAATTGTGAAAATAGAGAGCACATTTATATGAATTCACATAGACTCGCATGTAAGTAATCTGGTGATTCGTGTTGGGTTTTCAAGAAGAAGAAGAAGAAGAATAAATAGGATACTCCAAAATCTACAGGATTGAATATTTATTTATAAGGTTATTGAGTTAATTCGTTTTGTAAGTTGTGTTAACGTATACACAAGGTTTCACTAGGTATTAAAAAATAAAGTGTTTTTTTTTATTTTTAAATAAAAATTTATAGAATGCTCTAACCTCCTTCCGCGTTCATTCTTTAATGTACCGCCGTACTAATGATGGGAGAAAATTGCATTTTTTTCATATGTGACGCATGTTTTTTTTCATACACAAGATTTTTTTTTGATAGCTTACTTTTGGCCGTGAGCCTATCAAATCGATTATCTCTGAAGACGAGGAAATATAAAAAAGGTGATTAAATAAGCGATAATTTTAAGAAGAATTTTTTTAATTAGTTGGAACAAACCTGGGATGCAGGAGGCAAAAATTGCCTGTAATTATAGATTTTTTAAATAGTTGACTTACAGTATTTCGACTAAAAAATGATTTTTTTAGACGGCTATAATTCACAGACAAGTCTTGGCAATTTCTGTAGTAATTTAAACTATTGGCAATTTTGCATTCACTTAATTTACATATCTTATAAAGTATGTCAGCCAAACAGCCTATGATTTATTAACTGGTTTTAAAAATAAGAAATAAAAATAACTAAATAAAACATCAAAATGGCATAGCTTATTAAAATTTAAGTAAACTACGGTTCGTTCAAAATTAATGTGAAGTAAAAAATGTGGAAGGTTATTTGGCGGATGATTTAATTTTGTTAAAAATACATTATTTTCCAACTTTTACGTTTTAAAATACAGAATATATATGCATAATTAAATCGCTGTCAATGCCAATCAGAAACTTTGGCCGATTGCCCTTTTACAAAATTTTGAACGAACAGTAGTCGATAAAAAAATAATGAAATCATAAACTTTCACCGTAATCTTAAATATTTCAGCCACGATACCAGTCCCAATGAATTAATGTACATACGATTTTCCAACAAAGTAGTCGTGTTAGTTTAATTCCTCGTGTAATTCGTGTCAATTAATTAGAAAGTTAATCATTAATTAAACATCATTTATTTTTATTTTTGGAGTACATAAATATAAATGTAAAAGTGCAACAACAACAACAATAACAACCATATATCAATGCAAAAATTATTTGCATGCAATGTTAAAATGCGAAAAGTTATTGCAGTGTATTTGCAATATTATCAAACTGAGCCATTCAACAACTCATAACGCATGCAAAAATTCGAAATCCTTGTTCTTTTTCGAAATAAAATTAAAAAAACATGTTCTTTTTTTATGAATGCCTAAATGAATTCTTAACTGTTTTTACATGATGTTTTGATGACGTGTGTTGTGGTGCATGGCAAAATTGAGGGCACTCTAAATGTTCAAGTTGTAAATACTTGGTTTATTATTAAGTTAAATATTGGCAAATATGGAAAGCTTGCAAATTATTGTTGTTATATTTTGCTATATTAAAATGTTGTAAAAACACTAAATATTCAAAATCTAGGGAAGCTTTGCGTTTTACTACGTCTACTAGTAAGTAACTAGCAACTGTATAGTATAATGCGACGCGGTAGGATTAAAAATTGGCAAAAATTTAGTATTTACACAAATTCAACCAACTTTCTCTCTCGCACTCTTGATGGTAGTATAGGCACGAGGAGAAAGTTATATTTCAGTATGTGGGTAAACATTTATTTTATGAAGGTGGGTGGTTGTTCTCAAATCTGATTGGGCGGAAGTCAGTATTTTCGTATGTTGAGTATTTAACAAAGGGCGTACTCATGGCAACCTTCGGAAATTTAGCAACATGACTGGGAAAGTGGAGAAATTTTGAAAAAAATACCATTTTTTTGCAAGTTTGTCCAGCGAATGGACATGTTTTTATTTTGGAAAAGTTTTACTGGAAACCTAAACACGATTTTTTTTAGCAAGTTTGCATGGAAGTTATTAGCTCGCCAAACTTTTGCTGGATAACCTTAGTATTTTTTTCCAAGTTTGCCCAGCAAATTGGCATGTTTACATTTCGCAAAATTATTTCGCAAGCTCACCACCAATTACAGAAACTTATGAAAACAATGTCAAAAACCTTTTAGAAATAGATCTGCATTCATATTTTGCGACAGAAATTTTTACAGCTTCACCATTTTGCTAAATCAGTTGCCATGCGAAATAAGACGTTGCTATGAGTACGCCCAATAATTTTTTTTTATTAATTGCGAGCGAATTTTTGTTAGTGGTCAAATATATTTCTGGATGTGGGATAATATGTTTTTGGTTACTTTGAGAATTTGAATTTTAAGAGATAATTTGAACTAGAAAAAGTGACACTAAACGGAAAAGGAAAGTAGTAAGACTGACCTTTTCCCTTGGGGATTGTGCGAACCACCAAATTTTGGCCTATTCCCAAGGATTTCTGAAGGATAATTATACAGATAATCAAATTTTTTTGTTCTATTTTCCGTCTACATGGTATTTTTTATTAAGGGAGGAGTCACTATTTTTTACCAGTAATTTCTGGAATCCAGCTACATATTTAATATATAAACGGTATTAAAAATTTATCATAAAAAAATTTTGACACATCTTTTTTTTTACAATAGCCCGAACCATAGCTTTCAAAAATCCGTATAAGTTCTTATCCATACAATGAAGTATTTCGCTATTTTGACTTCCAAATTTTAATCTATTTTGCTAATTTTTTTTTGCATGTCAAAAAATAAATTTGACTAACAACTTATCGCCAAATACTTGGCGCACATGGGCGTTGGTTCGGGCTAAAAATGAAATATTGACCATATTCTTACCTAGCGAAAACGGCCTACAGCGTCAGAAAAAGAAAAGTTTGAAGTACATTTAGAAAAATATTCTTGATAAGTAGATATGTTCATGGTTAATTTTTTCTTAATTTAGCAAATTGTGTGTCGCCTACCAAATAATTAGTGAAAGTGCATGACATTCAACATTTACGAACAGTAACAGAGAAAGAAAACTGCACTTCCTACCCCTAAAACATTTTGGAATGTACAAAAAACCGAAAAGTTGCACAATTATAAAACACAGACAAACAAATACTACATGATAAATAGCAAGCTACGAAAAAACTCTAAATGTAAATTACCTGGTAAAATAATTTTATAAAATCTCACTCTTTTTTGTTCTAATGTCGACAATAATTTTAATCGTGAAACAAAAAGCATTTGTCAAACATGATAACATTATGCAAAACCAAACAACATTTAAGTAATTAATAATTATTATATGCACTGGCCGCGGAAGGGTGTGGACAGAGGGGCACAGTTTTTCGATGTCCCCATCATTAATATAAACCCCTACAATTTTAAAGTGCCCAGATGTCCTCCCCGCTTCCGCGGCCACTGATTGATTATATATATGCATAGTCGAAGTAGACTTGTCATTCTTTTTAAATTTACATATTTATGCTAATGTGGCAACACGTGGTTGGTTGATTGATGAGCATGCCATTTTGATGATACGTACAAGATAATCATAACAATGAACCAATTTGACTGGTTGGCTGGCTTCACTAATTTTTCGTATTGAAATAAGTATTGCCACGTCTTGAATCAGAATTATTTAGGATTGCACGACTAATAATCCATGGAAGGAATCTGTCAGAAAAAGGCTTACCAAACCAACGAGGAGGAAGAACACGAGGAACGTTCTTCCCAGGACGGTAGTGCAATATACGTCTCCATATCCCACCGTGGACATGGTTACGATGAGAAAGTACACACATGTCCAGTACGAGATGCGATGCGGATTCTCAAAGTCTAACGGGTCACCAGAATTCTCCAACTATTCAAAGTGAAAGCACAAGTTTTAAGGATGTTAATTAGTTTAAAACAGAGGGAGAGAAAGTCGAGTCGTACTTATTTTACTTTGGCCAAACTCTAGCAATTATATAAACTTGGGGGACAGTGTTTCGGGTGAAAGTAACGATTAAAAGTAAATAGGGGGGAGAAAGTGGTTTCTTGCAGGTAAATATTTTGACTTGAAAGAAATTAAGATCTGCCGTGCATACTTCATACGGCGCGTGGCTAGATGACGCAGATTTATTGCACTTTCTCCCAGTTTTTGCACCTTATCCCAGTTTCTAGCACTTTCTCACAGTTTCATCCACTTTCTCCCAGTTCCTTGCACCTCTAATTTCTTGCATTGCTTGTTTTGCAGTGCAAGAAATATAGCAAATTGGACCTCTTTTGTCCTCAAATTTTGATCGTTCTTACCAGTGTTTCGGGTGAAAGTAACGAAGAAGTGCAAGAAATAGCAGGGAGAAAGTGGTTTCTTGCAGGTAAATATTTTGACCTACAAGAAATGTAAGGTGCAGGAAACTATGTCCCGCCGCTATATTTCATACGGCGTGTAGCCAGATGGCGCATATTTCTTGCACTTTCTCCCACTTTCTTGCACCTCACATATCTTGCTTTGCCCTGCAGGAAATGTAATAAACCCGCCAGAACCGAAACACTGTTGTCCTCACAGACATGGGAGTAAACTTGATAATGAAATTTCTTCATTCATCAATTCCCTTTATACGTACGGAGGAGAATAATAAAGAATGCAAATTACGAGAGCAGAGCGCGACTTGTAACGCGGAGAGAAAGCAAGCAACTCAATTCTCTTTGAAGACGAGTTACACCAAGGACACCAGAGTCAGAATAGAATACTAATTAAGACATAATGGAGGACGTTTAGGGGAGGAAATCTCTACTCGTGTCAAAAGTGGTGAGTGGGTAAAAAGAAGTCTGGATTAGAAAGTGGGGACAACTTTTACTCTTCTTTTTTATTCGTGACTGCCACACTTTCACTTTCTTTTCTATGAGACAAGTAAAGTGAAAGTAACGTATTTTTCTGCTTCGTTTCTTGCTTTCGTACTTTCTCTTTTGGGGAAAAGTGCGCATTTGTTGGCGTTGTAACATTTATATGGAATGAATACGGAAAAAAATTGAAAGTGAAAGTTGGGCAAATATTTATCATGTGGATAATTTTCTATGAGATCAACTAAGGTGAAAGTAACGGTTTTTCTTCGTCATCTTTTACTTTCTCTCGTGCGGAAAAAGTGCATATTTTTTGGGGCAATGGAACATTTACATGGGATTTTCATGGGAAACGAAAAAATTAAAAGTGAAAGTTGGACACGAATTTATTTACCAAGTGGATAATTCCTGCAGCAGTGAGCCAAACTGAAATGAAGATGGACACGAGCTGAGCGAGTCTTATTGAGCTTGACGTTTTGAGAACGCTGTAATAAAAATTGTTTTTACGAGCGTGTAAATATTTAATAAAAATATTTATAAAAATCTTTAGTAAAAAATTTCAAATATTAATCATTTTTTTTTAAATTCCCTTACTTAAGATACTGAAGGATGTCTGGAACAGTCATGAGTCGAAGGGCTCGAAGAAATCGGAGTCCGATCCACGTTCGATTCAAATAGATGGACACAAAGGACGGCGGAATTGTAAAGTAATCCACGAACGAGTACCTGCCAAGCGTTAAGGTAAACATTGATTTATTACGTTTAACAGTCAATTAATTTATTCAAATTCCAATGTCACACTTACATCTCCAACATGAACCACAATTTATCCGATGCTGCTATAAACTGGAAATACATTGATGGATAATTTAAATTATTATGTTTTTATTTTATCTTCTCGAGTATTTTCATAAAAGTTGCCATAAATCGCATATGATAAGGCAAATTTTACCATCGTTCAATATTTTTATAGGGGGAATCCGTAAATACGTCGTGTGTCACTAATGTCGATTTTTAAGCGGGATTACGAAAACTTGATATATTTTTTAAAATTTCTAGCTTTCACCTAAACTCTGCAGCCTTACAGAAGATTTTGAACCCAAAATATGAGCAAAATTATCCCCTAACGAGATAAGATCTATGTATCTCATCGATTAGATCGTATATCATTTATGATATCGTAATCAAATTCTCCACCCACCCAACTTTCTCCAGATTGATCGAATTAACCTTTTCCCTCCTGGATGGACCCAGAAGACAATCTTTATTACAACTTATTACGTCCCTAATATAGGGATTTCCTTTCCTCTTTGAATAAGTATATCCATCCTTCCTTCACACGGTCCATATCTACCTAGTTGGCCCCCTCTGTAATGATGATCAATACTATTACACGGGACCTCACTATCCCATCCTGTGACTGCTAATCGAAAATCAATGAATGATGGCTGCCTCCTCCTCCTCCTACCTCTTTGCCTGGCTGCCTATATAAATACTCGTGGTGGTCGTCGTCGGGGGAGTTAATAGGTGGATTGGAGCAAATTACAAAATTACAAAAGCAGAAGTCTCCTTCATGAAAAGGGCAGAGTTGACGGTGTAGTTATCTGGTTGGCAAAGGTAGTGGTGGGCATGAAGGCATACATGGTAATGATCACAGGGTGGATATGAATTTATTTAAGAAAAATGGCTGGAATATGTATTTAATATTTATAAAAACAACGCGAAAATATTGATGAACTGTGTGCAAAAAATAAAATTACAAAATTTGTACTTCTTAATATAATGCATTTATGTAAAATCGCTGAAATATATGCCTAATATTTAAAAAAAGACGTCGAAATATTTATGAAAAATGTATGAATGATAAGAATTTTTCTAAATTTTGAAAATAATGCTCTGGATTTTTCAAGAGCTTCAATATCTTCGAGCCAAAAAATTTCGTCTCGTATCGAATATCATTTAAATATCTACAAAATATATGCATTTTTGAAAAAAAATCTCAAATATTTACGTATTTTTCAAACAATGGCGAAAATATTTGTAAATATATTTATATATCTGGAAACCTAGTAATATGTGGCAATTTGTGTGCTCCATGAAAGTTAACACGCCCAAAGTTTGACCATCGGTCCTTATCAAATGGAAAAGTTCAAAATATTGAATACATATCCGACCTCTGAAAATGATGATAATGGGGAGGAAGACAATGAGGAAAATAAAGCAAAGTGCTCGCTCACCCTAATGAAAAAGTAGACCATGAAAAATATGTTGAATGCTAAATCTATCTGCTGCGTCACATTCTCGCTCCACTCTTGGCATTTCTCCACACCCACTCTGCAAATGACAAAGAGAGAAAAAGTTATTACGCTTAATCCTCACTGATAATGCTCCCAGGTCATTTTTCATCTTTTACCCGGTGGAACATTGACACAGTAATTTTTCACAAAGAGAAAGTAAACTTACGAAGAAGCGTCTACAAAGTATATCACCAATGATGCAATACTGAGTTTAAAGACGAGCACCACCTGAAATACAGAGAAATAGAAATAATTATTGATCAAAACTGATAAAATAGTATGAAATATTGCCGGTAGGAATCATAAAATGCCAATATTATTATTGTAGTTGTTATTAATGCAGCCTTATTTTAGTGTTTTGGGTGAAAGTAACCAAGAAGTGCAAGAAATAACGTGGAGAAAGTGTTTTTTTGCAGGTAAATATTTTGACCTGCAAGAAACGCAAAGCGTAAAGAAACTACTTATTGTTTCTACACTTCATACAGCGAGTGACTAGATGGCGCATATTTCATGCACTTTCTCCCAGTTTCTTGCACCTCAAATTTCTTTTTTTGCAGTGCAAAAACTATCGCAAATCTGGAAGAAACGAAACATTTCTGATTTTTTACAGTGATTGTATTTGTGCCATTTTATTTATACTTTTTATTTTGCTTTCTCTTTTGCTTTTAGACGAGCACGTAATGAAGTTACTGCATGTTCCGTGTAGATAAGGCAACATTCGCTGCGAAATAGTTTCCAATAATGGTCTCAAGTGATAGCGAAAGAGATAATAAATGTCACCCTGAGGTGTCGAAAATCGGAAATGAAGTATCGTCCTTGACGTCAACCACTTATTAAACAAGAACGCACGTGCTTTCTCTTCTCCCGTGAAACAAAAGATTTATCTTCCCTGCGCTCCCCTTTTTCGTATCATTTTCCCATATTGTTTTTTTTTCTCCGATAAATATTTACAAAAATAGATGCAGCAAATGCGTAAATCATTGATTGTTTATTTTTGTGGGAGGGCCTTTTAGAATTAGTTGTGAGTCTGCGCGACTAAATTGCGAAATGATACAGTACTACATCGTAATTATTTATGGCGTGAAATGTGAAGTTATGTCAATTCATTACATAAAACAGGCATAATTTGGGTCATCTCTGCTGATGCACCGGACAGAGTCAACATACGTATGCTTTCTCCACGAATTTATTCATGGATGTGTGCCTTCCGGTGGCATGCAAATATCTCACTTATCTTTGTTGTGTTTGACTTTGGCTGCAGTGACGGCGGAAGTGTGGGTGGGGACAGAGGGGTAATAATGTCCCAACGGTTGTTAGATTTCCCCATCATCTCCCCATGTTATATAAACCCATCAACCCATCACTCCCCTATCTTACAAATTTAATGTCCCCACACCTTCCGCAGCCACTGTTTGGCTGTTTCCCATTTCCCAGACGTTCTGACGGCGGGCATGATTCATTTTCATGAATAATGATCTCTTCTACGTATATTCATCCTGAATAAAGATGCGAATCCATGAGTCAACCCGCTTTCACTTTCACTCTATTTATTTGTAGCACGTCGCACTTGTAATTTGTTGTGCTACACACACAATGGAAAATGTTGCCCGGCTCGGGTTACAAGGGAGGATCAAATTTCCGCGATAATTGGAGAATGAAATCCAGCCTGTTGGGACTGCACACGTATGTAGCTTATCCCGTCAATAATAATACTTTAGAACTGTTGCGGTTTTGAGCCGGCATTTGACTTTGTTGGGTTGACATTTAAAATAATTTGCTGTACGACATGGATACATAAATATTTAAAAGTACACATATCTGAAACTTTCACCTTTATAAAAGTTCAACATTGTTCACAATGGATGCATAATTCATCCCCAGTTTTGCGTCACTTGTTACGATTCGACACAAAAAAGTGCCAAAAAAGGGTCGTTCATAAATTCGCAAAAATCGCGATTTTCTAGACCCCCCCTCCTTTAACATGTTCCACGTAGACATCATTGGAGCGTTAAACCCCCCCTTTCCCGTTACATAATTTATGAACGGCCCCTTGACTCGCTTATATTGAAAAAGACGGAAGGACGACTGACTGACTGATTGACAATGCGAAGGATCAAAATAAAATAAAAGTTCTTCAGTCTTAGACAAAAAGAGAAAGTGGAATGCAGTAAATTCTTACGTACGTACCTAATTTCCGGATTGCGTGATGATACTCAAGTCTCTCTGGCCTACTTTTTTCTGGACATAACTTTTCGGCACGATGATGCCCCACCGACAGACACTGGGGGCTCGAGTACGTATCACAAATGTACCATCACAACTCATTAATTCTATGAAATGCTCATTAGTCTGAAATTTTAGTTCCGTTGTCTGCCTGCTTCGATTTCTAGGGACAATAAGGAGTAATGACTTACTCAGAACTTTTTAGCAGTGAGTGAAAGTCAGTAATGGGAGGAAAAATGGAAGCAAAATTGAGAAAGGCAGATGGAGAAAGTAGAAATAAAAATCCTTGACAAAAGTGATGAAAGTGAAAGTGATACAGAATTGGAGGACATTCTTTTTGATTTTCTCTACTTTTGTGCTCAAAGGGAGAAAGCGGGGGAAAATAAAATCTCGGCAGAATTGAAGTTTAACCGAGTATCGTTCCCGAATACGAATTATGCTATTCGCCCGTTTCTAAAGCAGTGGCCGCGGAATTGAGGGGCAATGTCCCCACGGTTATTCGATGTCCGTATCATGTCCCCATCTTATATAAACCCTTCCCTCCCCAATTCTACAATGGTAATGTCCCCACATGTCCCCACGGCTTGCGCGGCCACTGATCTAAAGTCTAGTTCGTAGCGAAAACTACGTGTCGTGCATTTAATACAATTTTTGTTATGTATGGAAGGAAGCAAATCATGGGAAAAGTTTGATGGAACCTTTAGAGTGAAAGTTTCTCCCTTTGAGATAACTACTTGACACTTTGTCACTTAACATTTTAAAGTTCTCGCTTCGCGTGTGCAACCTTGAGTTCAAAAGTAATTTTCGTCATGAATATATAACAATGCTCGTCATCAAGTGGAGCACAAAACACTTAAATTGCATTGAAAGGAGATGAAAGTGTTCTCGATTTTCTATCTTGCAAAAATTCAATTCCAAACGTCATTTACATTCTGTGGGAATTGCATATTTCAAACAAACAAGGAATCATTGTGGTCCTTTCTTTACAAGAATTTACATCAAACAAGGGACGTCTCCTAGCGTATGCTGTCCGAGTTTTGGCACACTAGTGTCAATCGATGGCAAATTTGATTAGGATGAAATTTGCAAAATACACGATCTCCCAATGGGCACGTTTGGCATTTGCATCCGAAGAGGAGAAAACGGGCCGTAAACTAGACAAATTGAGTACACTTTCCAAATTTACTGCCCGTTTTCTCCTCTTTGGATGCAAATATTCCAGTCAGACGGTGGCCTTTGCAAATTTGCGATCGATTAACACTATGGTCGGTATTTTATAATTATACCCAATTAATTTTGTAAAGAAATGGAAACAAAATTTCGTCTAATTTTAACGCACAAACCATAATTTCCTCCAAATCTGAGAGTATCCGCTGGAAGACCTCCATTGCACGTATTTATGTAACAAGATAAGAAGACCGACGTCTTGATGAGTGTATCAGATACGTCTGCCTGTCATGTTTTGGGTTTGGGTGGAGCATTGGGACGGGATTTTGACTCCTTTTGTATTCATAGTTTGACGACAGTCTGACAAAGACACGACACTTCTTTTGTTTTTCTTGTCGAGAGGTATGCAACGTCACTCTTTGTTTCGGCAAAGTTGACTTTTATTAAAGTCGGCAGAGTTGGTCGTCTCAAAGTGGGAAATTCTTGTCGTATTTACCCGAGTTGTCTTTTGACAGGGAGGAATTAAATATTAAGCTCATTGGCTTTGCGAGATACTCACTGCTGCTGCTGCTGCTCTGCCGCCTCCCACTTTTGGCATGACATGGCATGAGTGGTTCTGCTGATACGGTGACTTTGTTACGAAGAAAATAACGATGCCAGGATCTTTAACAGTTTAGTTTGTTTTGCGATTGTATTATTCCTATTAGTGCATTGAACTTTAAAGAAAACAAGACTGATTTTAATGACAAGGACGCTTTGCGAAATGGAGATGGTAGATGATCCTTGCTTATCGGTAGTACCGATTCGGTATTTAGTCTTTCATTTCTTGCAGGTTTGCTAATTTTCTTGCAGTGTAAAGGAAGAAGCGCAGGAAATGTGAGGTGCAAGAAACTGGGAGAAAGTGCAAGAAATATGCACAATCTAGCCAAGTGCCGTATGAAGTATAGCGACCGGAAGTAGTTTCTTGCGGGGCAAGATATGTAGCTGCAAAAAAAAACACTTTTTTGCGGGTATTTCTTGCAAACAGTGTTTCATTTCTTGCAAGTTTGCCATATTTATTACGGGTTTGCTACATTTCTTGCACTGCAAACGAAGCCACGCAAGAAATGCGAGGTGCAAGAAACTGGGAAAAAGTGCAAGAAATAAGGGCCATCCAGCCACGTGAAGTATTTATAGCAACGATTCGTGGTTTTTTTCACCTTGCATTTCTTGCAGGTCAAAATATTTACCTGCAAAAAACCACTTTCATTCCCATATTTCTGGCACTTTTTGATTTCTTGCACCCGAAACACTGTCGGCATTTGTGTGTAAGTGAAACTGACAATCAGCGGATGAAAGGAAAAGTAGTTTGCTCGTGGGAAGGAAGAGACGAGAAGAAGAAGGGTTTTGAGAGTGCAAATGTGCCATGAATTATTAGAGAGGAGAAGAAGTCGAAGAAATGGAGCAGAGTAAGATTGGCATTTGATCAAAAATGTCAACTTGGATGGAGGACTAGTTACTTGTACGGGTTTCCTTTCTTGTTGACGTGTCACCTCGACAAGTGAGCAGATCTTAAATCTCTGCAATTTCACACGCGATGCAGCCAGTTAGTCGGAAAAAAGTTGGAACTGTGTAACGTCTACATGTGTGCTGCATTAATTAGAGGTAAATAAATACAAATGCATTGATGACAAATTCGTTAGTTGGATGCATTTTATATAAATTTATTCATTTTTCTATGTGTGGGATTTTCGGAGGATTGCATACGCGTTGAGAGCAAAAATAAGAAGGAAGTGTGGTACGAGGAATCGAACCTCGTGTCTTTCTCATGCCGGGAGAACACCTTACCACTAGGCTAA